GAAAAAGAAAAAGAAAAAGAAAAAGAAAAAGAAAAAGAAAAAGAAAAGGAAAAAGAAAAGGAAAAAGAAAAAAAGTATGTAGAGAAAATGCATTGTAGATGAGATTCTTCAGAGAGAGAAAATAAGTCTTTCAGCCTCGTGATAATTTGTGCTGAGAGTTAAAAAAGCAAAGGAGACATGATCTGACCACTTGTAGTAAAGCAAATCCATACATCTGGCCCACTACAAAGCCCATTCAGTCCTCTGATATTTATTACAGTGTTTCAGAAGCTCAGTGAGATCTGGAGGTGATTCAAGGGGATCTGAGAACAACTGGTATCTAGCCAGTGTGAAAAGAAATAGATCTTAGATTGTAATAGATCGCACTTGAATGTCAAATGTAGTTTATTTCCTTGCATGCTTACAAGAATTGATCTTGCTTAAGTGTTTTCTTATCTCAAACTTATTTATTTATCCAATTATCTATATTCCAAGTTTTATACATACATATATACAGTTATCTCTACATACAATTGTTTCACTATACATTGCAAATAATATTCCAGCTATGTCAGCGATACATTTCAGCCTTGCTCAGCGTACCAGGGAACTGTGAGCCAGGATTGTGAACCACTGAGAGAATGTTTTGCTACTGATTTGAGTAGGATCAAGATTCTTTCAGCATTGCTGTAAGACAAAAGCAATATTACTCAATAGTCCCATTTTATCCAATAAATTTGCTCATTCTCAGGAAATCAAGAACAATAAACACTCTGATTCAGTACCTCTTTCGTTAGATTATATATCAGTTTGTAGAGAAGAGGGGTGCAGTCAACTCTTAATGTGTAGTTGCCTGAAAATGAAGCACAGACATGGAAATCCCTCCACATACAACTGGCATTACCTTCTTAATGGATTAAGCCCTGCAGTCCTTTCTTAGACAAACTCCTTCTCGACTCCAAGGCAAAGAATTTAGATCTTTCCTCAGAATATACACAGAAACAGACTGTTTATTTGGTCACACTTTGTAAGCTCCTGTTTCTACACAATTATGCACTGGTTATTGAGCATGCAAAGTAATGTAATGAAGTTTCCACGTAGTTCTGGAATATGTGCAACTATCCTTCATCAGCTACTTGTCACTCATTGACCCTTGTCTCTCACATGCTCCCAAAAGCCTGCATTTAACAGAATGGAGTGGTAAGTGGGTAAGTATCTCATAGGGAAGCTGTCAGTCATAGCAGCAAGAGCCCCACTGCAAAGAAACTGCTGCCACTGCTGAGGGAAGCAGGTCTTCAACGCAATCTTTTCTGTAACCACCCAACAGCAGCTGGGCAAACATCTCTCCCCTCAGATGTGGATAACACGAAGGGTGAGAAGGTTTTGACATAATGAAACATCAGAAAACACTGTTATTAGGTCTTGTTACTGCTTTAGACCTGGGGTCATCCACTGCATGCCCACAAGAGCCAGTGTTGGACTAACAATTACAGAAAACCCAACAGCACTGTAAAAAATTCTAGATAATGTTAAAATCAATTGATAACATTAATAACGTTTCCAACAAGAGTCTCTATTTGAGAACTGGAAATTAGAGACACAAAAATACTCAAAAGAATGACTTGCTGTTCCTTTTATGGATTTTCACGTCTCAAGGCCAATGAATAGAAACATGGCACAAGAAGCACTGTAGAAAAAGCGTGATGATAAAAAAATTAATTCCCAGACTATATGGATGTTTGGGCTCTACAGCAGATGCTCAGAAGAAAGTGAAAGACGCCCAAATACTTAAAACAGTCCTCTGATGATGGTGCTTTTTTGCCTTACTACATATCTTTCCCACTGGTTTTACTTTCACACTTTTTTTAATGCACAAAGCACGAGACGTGTTTGAGTAGCGAGGATTTGGAAGAAAATAGTTAATGCAGCAGCATGTTGGCTGCAGATCAGCTGAAAAAAATGAACGTGTTGCAATCCATGCTGAGAATATGAAGCAGTTGTAAAGCTATTATTTCATCCACGAGATCTAAGTGTGAACTTCTGCTCCACTTTTTCCACAGCATGTACGCTGTATAATTGAAGGAACAGCTCTACTGTCCTTACAGCCAGCCTCCAACACAGCATTTAGAAACTGGGTTTGTCTTTTCTTTCCTTCCAATCCTTTTGTGACAGACAGAATTTTCTGCTGACAGGAGTAAGAAGAGTTTTTAAATGTGCCTACTGATATCCATTTTATTCACACAGAGTAAGCACAAAACGGTTGGGTTTAACATGGAAAAAGCAATGCCAGAAAGAACTGTGCTGAACAGATTCATGGGGCTCTACTGATGGAACTCCTCCCCTACAAGGACAGGCTGAGAGAGCTGGGGCTGTTCAGCCTGAAGAGGACAAGGCTCCGGGGAGACCTGAGAGCGGCCTTTCAGTATCTAAAGGGGGCTGTGAGAAAGAAGGGGACAGACTCTTTAGCAGGGTCTGTGGTGACAGGACAAGAAAAATGGTTTCCGACAGAACAAGGGGTGACTTAAACTGGATATTAGGAAGTTTTTCACAATGACAGTGGTGAGACACTGGCACAGGTTACCCAGAAAGGTAGTGGATGCCCCATCCCTGGAGACACTCAAGGTGAGGCTGGACAGGCTCCAAGCACCTGATGGAGCTGTATGTGTCCCTGTTCATCGCAAGGGAGTTGGACTGGATGGCCTCTAAGGGTTCTTTCTCTTCCAACTCAAACAGTTCTATGATTGTATGATGATTTCAGCACAGAAAACAGCAAATGAAGATCTTCTGTAACAAAGCTCAGAATAATTTAATGATATTATCCTTGCTATTCTGATTTAGGTCATTGTGCTTGCTCTAACTTCCCAAGTCTAGCTTATAAGCAGCATTCCTGTATGCCAGATTCTTTTGAGAATCTGAAAGACACAGTAAATTAAATAATGGTGGGTCACTTTTTTTGTGAATCACTCCTGAGAGCCTATTTTTCTATGTCAGCTCAGGCATATTCTGCAAGGAACTCTGCACAGCCTCCCTCTTCACAGCACTGCACAAAGGGGTGCACCCCATCCCAAAGCAACTAAACAATTTCCCACACCTACAAAACATAACCCCAAGGTTTTGACATTAATTGTCCCGTGACTGTAAATAATTATAGTGTCCCAAGATACTGCACTTCCACAGTAAATGGAGCTGGAGCTGCAGGTATAAGTCAGCCATACATCATAACAATAATTGTATAATAATTGCTAAAGCAGTTAAGAGAGATTTAAAAATTCAGACTGCTCAGCTCATTTGCACAGAACACTGAATACAGAGGAGGCCTTCTGGCTTCCAGATATGTGGACTGCAGCTCATGGATGGCACTACTTGCAACAAGCAAGCAACATGAGGATTTGGATTGCCCTCTCCCTCCACTTCATTCTGTATTTGCTACAATTACTGAATATTACATAACTGATGTTTGCTAGCTCTGGATGCGACAGTAATACACAGTGAACTACTAAAACTGACATCCATAAAGTAAAGTGAGTTTAAGACACACCTTCTATAGAAGAATCTGCGTTGATGTACGCCACTGCCCGTTCCTGGAGGACTCTGGCATTTTCCTGGGGTTGTAAAAGTGTGATTATTACCTTCAGATAGTGACATTTACTGAAGAGCATATTAAGTATACTAGGTGGGCTTTTTATTGTTTGTTTGTTTTAACCACATTACCTTTAGAAAACAAGTCAGGATAAGTAGCACAATGTTCTTCACCAATCATTTTGGTGTTTGAGGATGGGTCAGTGATCTGAGCATACAACATTCACTCTTGCTTCTGGGACTCATTTTTGTCTGGAAAGCAACCAACCTCTCATACTGGAGAGAGTCCAGATGGGTGTTGAATATCTCCATAGAAGGAGACTAAACAAATTATCTGGGCAACCTCCTTCCTAAGCTCTGTCACCCTTACCATAAAGAAGCTCTCCCACATGTCTGTATGGAACTTTTCTATGTTCAAGGTTTAGGCCACTGCTCCTTGTCCTGTCACTAGACACTGAGTAGAGCCTGGCCTCATTTGTTTGCCTCCCACCTCTTTTTAGATATTTACAAACATTAATCTGATCCCCCCTCAATTTTCTTCTCCTCAGGCTGAACAGACCCAGGTTACTCAGCCTTTCCTCGTACAGGAGATGCTTCAGGCTCTTTATCATCTTTGTGGCCCTCCACTGGACTTTCTCTAGGATATCTCTATCGTTTTTGAACCAGGGAGCCCAGAACTGGACACAGTATTCTAAATGTAGCCTCACCAGTTTTGCTACTGATATCACGTTCCAGTATTTAACTGAATTTTAACAATGATGAAGCGGGTATTGCTGTCATTTCTATACTCACTCATTCCTAAAAACAATGAATGAAAGCAGTTTTGAGTCAACTACGCATTGCTTTCATAATAAATATTTACACATATGCTGAATTTTTTTTGCAAACCGGTAATTATTTTTGGAATTGATATTCTAATCAGGAAGGGATATGTTACTAAATCTTGGCTTTGTACTAGATATTCTAATTAGGTTGGTAATTGATACTTGATTCATTCAATTTATAACCAACTAATTATTTTTAAATCACGCAAACTACAAATTAGCTTGATAATTGATAACTCGATAATGCACTCAATATCTTCAAAACAAACACTAGAGAAGATTCTGCAGGAGAATATGAAGGAAGAAAGCAATCTTGTGTGTGCATACACGGGGCCATGCATATGTGGAAAAGCATATTTGCAGCATAAATTCCTTCATGATGTGTTTATGTAACAAAAGGACGTTGCCACACTTGCAGAGTCTTTGTTACAGAGAAGACAGTAAATATAATGGATTAATTTTTCCCAAGATTTAGTAGATGGCAGATCTGGCAGCTGCAGGAAAATGAATGTAAGCTGTGAGGAATGTCTCCAGAGAAACTAAAATCTAATTTTGGTGTCAAAGAGGAGGAATGCACACCACTGAGACAAAGCAGGAAAACAATAACAGAAAAACATTGAGGTTCAGATATGAGAGGTGCTTAGAGGCTTCTAATCTACTACAGCTGCCATGGAGTGAAATAGTAGATGATAGATTACTGGCTGTTAAATTATTAAACAAAAAACATTACAGAGCAGCAGTAGTAATATGAGAACAAGCATATAGAGAACTAATCTATTCATTACTTGCTCAAGAGAAATAGATCTTTTAAATATCATGCTTCCATACACCTCATACTTAAAATTGTTCTTTTTTCTCTTGATAGCATCTAAACATGCCCAGATAGATAAAGAAAGAAACCATAAATAAAAGATTAATATACAGTACACTTTTGTTACCACTGGAATTCAGGAGAGATGAAGTTTTAGAACCAATTCCCTCTAGTCAATAAATAATTCTAAAAGTAATTTATATTATGTTTCCTTTGTCTAATATCCCATAAAACAACATTAAGGGGCAGAGTGTCCATTGCAGCTGGAAGCAAAACATAATTTCATGGGAGAAAAGATTAGTGCAAGTCCAAGGAAAGAGAAATCTCAGCTTTGTTAACAGATGAATGATGCTGTTTTATGTTTCTGGTTTTTGTTCTGCGATTTTGTGTTCTACTGATAAACAAACTAAATAAAAACATTTAAGTATTTTCTTTTACATATTTTGAAAGCAAAATCCAAGTTCTATAAGTACAGAATATGTACAATAAATGAAATTTTAACAGCAAATAATCTGTTAAATGTTCCAGTGCTAATAAACCATGTTATTTACCTCAGCCCATTCTGTGGAACCCAGCAATCCAAATTCCTCTGCATCCCAGCTAGCAAAAATGATAGTTCGCTTAGGTCTCCAGCCTGCAGTCACCAAATTAATTTTCAAGTTTAATTTCACCACAGTTAATTGAATCTCTTAAAAAAAATAGACTTAATTGAAATAGCAGGAAAAAAAAAAAAAAAAGAAACAACAATTCTAGGTTCTTTAGAGAAACATATTACTGCAAAGACATTTCTTCTTAATGTAACATTTTCATTCCATACAACTAAAGTAGTAATATTACACTGACAAGAAAGATGAGGGAATAAATTCAGCCAACTAAGATGCAATGCTGCATTTGCATCTCTTCAACGAATTTGTGTATTTCATAATGAAATATACAACCAACTTTCTGTAAAGGTGAAGCTTAAATCAAAGCAGCTGCAACTGGGAATATTCATCACAGTCTCTCAAAGCTGTTCTTTTCCATATCCATCACTTTAAGTCCATAATAATTAAGTTACCTTCCATCTTCATTTTACCAAAACTTCGAACGACCTCTTGAAGAACAGCTGCACCCGTACTTGGATCAATACCACCAAATACCCAGGAGTCTCTATGACCTCCTAAAATAATGTATCTATCTGCAAACAAGCACACAATATCAGTCCTGACTTAAAAATGCATTTAGGTTATTTGCATTTCTGTTGATTCCACCATTATTATTCAACATATTTGTTAGTAACATGGACAGTGGGATTTGGTGGGGGGATTGGAGCACCTCCCCTATGAGGACAGGCTGAGGGAGTTGGGCTTGTTCAGCCCAGAGAAAAGAAGGCTGCAGGGTGACCTCATTGCAGCTTTTCAGTACCTAAAGGGAGCCTACAAACAGGAGGGGAATCAACTCTTTGAAAGGGTTGATAACAGCAGGACAAGGGGAAACAGTTTTGAGAGAGGGAAGATTCAGGTTGGATGTCAGGGGAAGTTCTTTACAGAGAGAGTGGTGAGGTGCTGGAACAGCTGCCCAGAGAGTCTGTGGATGCCCCGACCCTGGAGGTGTTCAGGGCCAGGTTGGATGGGGCCCTGGGCAGCCTGGTCTAGTATTAAATGTGGAGGTCGGTGGCCCTGCATGTGGCAGGGGTTGGAGATTCATGATCTTTGAGGTCCTTTCCAACCCTGCCCATTCTGGGATTTGGTGATTCTGTGACAGTGCACCCTCACCAGCTTTATCAGTGACACCGAGCTGCACGGTGTGGTTGAAACACTGGAGGGGATGGATACCATCCAGAGGGATCAGGACAGGCTGGAGAGGTGGACCCATGCAAACCTCATTAAGTTCAACAAGGCCAAGTGCAAGGTCCTACATCTGGCTCAGGGCAATTTCAAACACAGATATAGGCTGAGAGATGAGTAGATTGAGGGCAGCCCTGAGAAGCCAGTGTTCAGGATGGAGAAGCTTGACATGAGCCAAGTGTGCTCTTACAGCCCAGACGGAGAACAGTCTCCTGTGCCGCATCAAAATCAGGGAGGCAGCAGGGTGAGAGAGGGTACTGTCCCCCTCTGCTCTGCCCTTGTGAGATCCTGCCTGGAGTACTGCATCTGTGTCTGGGGTCTCCAATAAAAGAAACACAAGGATTTCTTAGGGTGGGTCCAGAGTACCATGAAGATGATTAGAGGGCTGGAACACATCTCTTATGAAGAAAGGCTAAGGCAGCTGGGGTTGTTCAGCCTGGAGAAGTGAAGGCTCTGGGGAGAACTTACTACAGCCCTTCAGTGCCTAAAGGGGGTTTATAGGAAAGATGAAGAAAGACTTTTTACAAAAGCATGCAGATAGGACAACAAGTTAAGCTTTTAAACTAAAAGAGAGTTGGATTAGATATAGGGAAGAAAATTTTTATTTGGCAATTTTGGCAGGGCCTTTTTTATGAAGCCCTGGCACTGCTGACCGAAGAGCTGTGGGTGCCCCATCCCTGGAGGTGCTCAGGGCCAGGTTGGATGGGCCCTGGGGTGCCTGAGCTGGTGGGGGGCAACCAGCCCATGACAGGGGGTTGGAACAGGGTGGGTTTTACTGCCCCTTCCAATGCAAGCAAATCTATTCTACACACTTTTTGAATTAACATTCTTTTATGCATGTCTTGTTACTCAGTCCCAACAATAGGATGTTAAGGTCCTAAATCATAACCAGTTTTCTGCGCTTTGCATTCTGTCAAGATTTGCCAGACAAACCATATTAATTATATAAGCAGAATCCCATGGTAAAAGGACAGGCATGTAAAGAATTATGTATATCATTCTAGCATTATAATTCAAGTATATTCTTGAGAATGCCTATTAAAAACAGTGTAGTGGAGGGATGGGACAAGCTATTAAAGATTTCTCAGGTTCCAACACTCTCTGGCTATCCTAGAAAGTGACTTTTTCTTGAAACCCGATGACAATTTCACCAAACAGCAATAAAGAAGGAATTCTTACGCTCACCTGGTTCCACAGCTCCTCTGATGACACCAATGACGTTGTAAATTCGAGCAATTTCATTGTTTGTATGAACATGCATTCTGACTTTTCTGAAATGAAAAGCAGTTGGTGTAACCATCTCTGAGAAGCTTGTAAGTAAGAAAGTTTATGTTCCTGTTTTGCTTTGTGTGTTCAGCAGTTGTCTAATCCATCATGCTGCATCAGCTTCCCATTTCATATTTCAAGTTAAACTGTTGACAGGAAGAGGCCTATACAGGTCAGCTTCTAAAGTTTCAAATGGTGACAGAATTTATTGAATTGTTATTTCTGGGTGACAATTGGTCAAAGGTATGTTAGAGCAGGAAACTGAAAAGTCTACACAGTAACTAAAAATGAACCTGAATTTTGATCAAAATGATAACTGCGGATATAAATCTCCTTATAAGGAATACACTGTGATTTTTTTAGCAAAACTACATGAATTGTGATAGAAGTTGGAGAGATGGTCATTATAAACAGTTATGCACAAATACACTGAAATCTCTGTTTAAGACAGCAGATCAAAGTGATCAAAATTTGTCAAAGCAAAATATCATTAAAAAAAAAACTCATGAAATTTCATAAAAAGAAAGGGAATTCAGGTATTAGAAGAACTACAAATAATGTACTATTCAGCCCCTTTTAACCTATAGAAGACACAAAGAATGAAACAACACTGATTTGGGGTCCGGCAAAACTCCAAGAGTTTCTCATCTTTTTGGCAGTGGATCTGCATGGCTGTCAAAATCGAGACCCACTTCTCAAGACAGCTACTGGATCACTGCCCAGAAAGAAACTGGCACCTGTGGCTTGAACATGCTTACACTTACACATTTCCATGTGCAAGTGACTGTCTACCTAGACTCAAAAGTCTCCTTTCGATATGGAATTACTCTGATAGAAAAGTATATGCAGGATTAATCTCTACAAAAACTACTTCTCCTATCAAGTGGGAAGATGTTAAAGAGTGCATTCAAAAATATTTCTTTTGCATACGTGTTCACAATGAATCATGGTAGTTCTTTCCTAACTGTTGGTTTTATTACTCTTGAAGACATTCAAAACAGCACCTTGATTATGCTTTCTTATTTTTTTCCTACTTTGTTCCTACTTTGTTCATTTTCAGATAGTGTTAGAACAGACAAGGAAAGAAAAAGGATAAATGAAGTCTTTGCAGAATTATATAGTGTCAAAATAACATCTTGTTCTGCAGGAAGAAGTTGCTCGAAGTTGCTCCAGCAACTGCTGGAGACCTGACCAGTTTTATTTCTCCATCATAGATGAAAAAAGGTAAAGAGCAAAATACTATTGCTAATCCAACAGTTCCACGTCCAATTTCTCCCTAATCAAATTAGTCAGACATTGAGCTTCATTTTCTTATATCCTGCTATTTTACAGGCTTTCCACCGTGGGAACTACCAGCTTTGGGAAACAGTTGATGGACTCACAAACCATTCCACAGCTCTTATGTTCAAAGGAACACTGGGGGGGCTTCCAGTGGACGATGGAAAGCTATCTAGAAGAGGACTACCTAATTAGTAGTGCTTCCCTTTTGGACATTGACAAATTGGCTTAGCTATTTTCCCCTTGGTCATTAGAAACATGAAAGAAAAGTAATAGATAGATGGACTGGATATATACTCTTTGCATCTGTCTATCCATTTACATTGGGGAACACTGAGCAACATTTACCTCCAAATTCTAATATTTATCATTAAGTGTTCCCCACTAAGAATGAAGTTAATTTATCCAGGGCAGAGTGGCTGGAACTAGATTTGACTTCAAGGTCCCTCTCATTCAAAACCATTCTATGATTGTATGTTGCTATTAGAACACATCTGGTTGTATTGTTTCACAGTCTTTTTCTTGTGGACATTTTTGCAGTTTTTATGAACAGGTGAGTGTTAAAACAGACCTTGTTGAAAAGTTGTTTGCAAATCCTGGCCCTACATTGTATGATACATTCAGAGCTCCCTTCCAGGTGCTGTCTGGAGCTGCAGGTCCTCCCATTGCACTGTTAAGTGAAAACCAAGAAAAGCAGTTGAACAGTGGGCTAAAACCAGAAATTCCTTTAAAAGCTGGTGCGCCTAAACCAAAGTGGGCTTACAAAACTCTTAAAAACATCATGCCAGAAACATTGCTCCAAATCTTTGAAATTTCTGAAGCACACACTACTACAGAATAACAATAAATACAAGTAACTATACAGATTCCACCATCTTAGAACAAGAAAATCTCACCGTACATTTGTGAATGCTAAATTGTAGTGAAGAGGACTGATGTATACTCACTGTAATAACACTTCTGCATCATGATATCCAATGGGATGAACTGGGATTTTTGGAATCCCTACACCTTCATTCACTTTGTATCGGAAAGTGTACTCTAAAAAGCCAGAACAAAATATCCATTGTACAGCATTCTTATCAGCTTTCACCAAACTAGACCGAGATTTCTTTTGATCGATGCAGCCACATATCACTCACAAGCATACATCAATTCCTAAATCATTTCTTACATCATTTCTTAGATATTGCTTCTAGAAAACCAAAATGTAATGAGAGAGTCTGCACAGCCCCCACAAGAGGTCTAAAGAGAACTCTGAAAGAGACTGACTGCATCACATTCAGAGAACATTCAAGCTGAAAACATCTGGACACTGGAAGAATTATGCATATCAGACACACTTCTTTGTTTCTAACCTTGCATGGGCATCCCTTAAAGTTGGTTGTAGAAAGAGATTGGTGTGGATGAATCCCTAATCTGAATGCACATTTGACTGAAGGCTAGATTTGCTAGCCTTCCATCTACATGCTAGCATGTCCATCTACATTATTGTGTCTCTTCAAAGGTGAATGTGAGATAACTAAGCTGGTGTTTGCTTTCTGCCAGCTTCAGAAGACATCCACAGATGCATGTGGATATTGGACTCGATGATCTCTGGAGGTCCTTCCAACAATTCTGTGATGCTGTGATTTGTCTAAGTTGCAGACTTTCACCGTCTCTCTGAATCTAGTGAGCCAAATGCACACAGCCTGCCCTGTTAGGTTTGCTTTTTTTCTATATGGTGTTGTGTGATGCCTCCAGTAGTGATCACACAAGCCAGAAGCACTGTTTTGTTGCCAACCCTTTGGCAGACAGGACTGGTAGGCACCTTAATTCAGGATGCCTATAGAGACAAGACAAGCATATGGTGCCAAGTTTCAAAAGGCTTTAGGCTACTGTTATTTTTGTTACAGAAATGTACACCCTGTATACAGAATTTTAAATTGTTTTTCTACTTGGAATTTCAGATGAGAAAGAAAACATACCTCCAAGCAACGCTATTACTTCTCTTTGACGATAGAATATAATGTAGTTTAAACTTGTCCTCTTGCGAAACATAGAGATTTAAAAACAGCTGTAAATTGTTACTTATTTTCAACTACTTTGCAGTCTGTGAACCTGAAATCATTCATCTGAGAGTTGTAAGGCTGAGAAAATGCAAAGAGATTTTCCAGAAAACGTAACCATCCCCACCTAACTCAAAAGCAACCAGTCGAAATGATATACAGGCAGAATCTACTGTGCACCAGGAAAATGAATGACTGCTAGAAGTCATTCTAAGTAGCTTTTCTCTTTGCATCTGTACCAAAACCAGATGAATTTCTAGAGCTACAGTAACTTTCAGTATCATTTTAGAAAGTACTTGATGGTCCAAGTACAGATCTGCCACTTACCTTTTGCAGGATAACCAGGTGTTAGAGGATCCCCAGCTCCATTCAGGTTCAGCACATTCCCACGCTGGACTCCTCTGCCTGGAAGGTTCCAGCCATCTGGGTAAGGATCTACTCCTGGGGCACAGTAATCAGCAGGGTCTGAATAAAGTATGACCCCTATGGCTCCTGCTAAAATGGCGTTTTTAACCTGTAAAATGATTCGGCATTAAGAAATATAGGTTTTCTTAAGTGCAATAACAATTTTGAGTGCTGTGATTTATTCCCATGGGGATGTAGTTTTAGAAGATATATATATGGAAAAGTGAAAATGATCACAGACTCATCAGAGCAAACCACAACAAAAGACGTTAAGTTCATTATTTGTGTCACACCTTTAAATCATACCTCAAAGCTGTGAGATAAAGCACACGGCTTAACACTGAGAGAAAAAAAAAACTAACCACTACCCTCCTTTTCCTTCTATCCTGAATTTTATTGGAGTTGATGTCCAAAGCCAGAGTAGTTACTCAATGTCTGTACATCAGAATCCATGTTGAATCCTTCTCCAAAATACTGCAGTTCTTTAGATGAAAAGTAGTAAATACCTTGGCTCTACATAATACTCCATTCCCCAAACTAATCTCTTGCAAGAACTGTCTAAAGAGTTTGTAGTCATATCACTCTCACAAGATTAGTATGCTTAACAATTTTCCTTCTGTTACAAGTTATAGTAAAGAAGGCAGACATGCTGAATGCATTACCAGGACTCTTCAACATCTTTATCAGTGACACAGATTATAGGACCGAGCACACCCTCAGCAAGTTTGCTGATGTCACCAAGCTGACTATTGCAGTTGATAGGGCAGAAGGAAGGGATGCCATCCAGAGGGACCTTGATAAACTCAAGAGATGGATCCATATCAACCTAATGAGGTTCAATAAAGCAAAGTGCAGAATTTTGCACTTGGGTCAGGGTAACTTCAGGTGTATATATAGAATGGGGGAAGAAATCCTTGAGAGTAGCCTTGCTGAGGACTTAGAGTTCTGTTAGATGGAAAACTTAACACAAGCCAGCAGTGCGCTCTTACTGCCTGGAAGGCCAACAATATCCTGGGCTGCATCAGAAGAGGTTGGCTGCAGTGCAAGGGAGATAACTGTCCCACTCTACTTTGCCCTCATGAGGTCCCATCTGCTTCCAGGTCTGGGGGTCCCAATGCAGGAAAGATGGGGAGCTGTTGGAGAGCATCCAGAGGAGGGCCATTAAGATGATAAGAGTGCTGGAGCACCTCCTCTGCAAAGACAGGCTGAGGGAGCTCGGCTTGTTCAACTGGAGAAGAGAAGGCTGTGGGGTGACTTCATTAAGGCCTTTCCATATTTAAAGGGAGATTATAAACAGAAGGAAAATAAACATTTTACATGGGTAGATAGTGCTTACACAAGAGGAAATGGTTTTAAATCAAAGGAGGGGAGATTTAGATTTGATGTCAGGAGGAAGTTTTTCACTGAGATGGGAGTGAGGTGCTGGAACAGGCTGTCCAGAGAGGCTGTGGTTCCTGGAGGTGTTTAAAGCCAGGTTAACAGTTGGCAATCCTGCCTGTGTCAGAGAGGTTGGAGCTTCATGAACCTTGAGGTCCCTTCCAACCAAGCTATTTTATGATTCTATGATTCTGCTCATATATATTGCAACTTACATTTGTCGTTAACTCCTGCAGGCTTTACTATGAGCAGTATTAGACAAAGCTACCTACAAAAATGAATAAATAAATAAATAAAATTAAACACAGTACTCACTTTGTTTCCTCTGAAGATCTTCCCATATCTGGCTATGACAATCTTTCCTGTACAGTTTATTCCCATTTCACGCTCCAGCTTAAAAAAATCTTCAGTGCGGCCATAATTCACATATACCAGATCTGCCTGTACAGTAAAGAACATCAGTTTGTTGGCAATTGGTCATCAAACAAACAAAATACCTCTTCAGTTTTCTTCATGTGTGATATACTTTGCATTTCCATACATGAGTTCCAGCCCCGATAAAAGTAATAGCAAAATATTTCCATCATATCTACAGGAAATCTTGTCTTAGGCAGCTGACCTTCCTGTATTACCCTGCACTTAAATGCTGCCCAGCAGCCATACAAAGCAAGGCTGCAAATGAAAGCAACACAGTCTGCTAACGTAACAAAGTTCTGTGGCCATGGATAGATAATGCTATTTCTTGTACACATAGACACTTGCTATTATATAATTTTATTCATATATATATATATATATATATATATAAAAAACAGTGCTGCCCCTGACTGATCTGGCCATGAAGAATTATTAGTTCGAGTGATTTTTTAACCTCTGAAGACACACACTCAATCCGAAATGTCTTTCAAAATGATTTCTATAGTTATTTCCACTTAAGACTCATGGAAATCCTTTCCACATGACTGAGTAATGTGGAGTAATCTGAGATGTATCCAGTTTTCCATAGAAATAGAAGCTCTTCACTTGTTTCACGAACCACATTTCTAACACTTTCAGAAAGGCTTCTTTTAAATAGCCTTCTAAACTTTGCACAATATGTGGCCTAGCTGTCTTTTTCTTCCCTTGTAGTAGTGGTTAATTAAAATTTCTGCAAGGAATATTTTGAAATGTTGAAGCAATCCACTCCACCAAGTGTTTCTCAAAACATGATTTCAGTCAATCTCTTACTTTTCTTTCTCACCTCTGGTGTTCCTTGTGCTGAAAAAGCATTATATGGTGGCGATATATCAGTAACATTTTCATATCCCCGAGGAGGTGGTTCAAATGATGAAGTATTGAAAATCTATCAATAAATAATATAAGTCTTCGGTCAAGCAGTGCAACTCAAGGTGTAAGTTTGGTTAATGCAAATGATATGCTAATTTCCTTAAACTGTCAGCAAAAAGATGGAATGCTAAGCATCATGTGTAACTTCAAAGAAAAACCAGCTGAGGATACATGGCTGAATTTTTATAACATAATGCTGCTATGAATACAGATCACTTGTCAGAAGATGTTCATCAGTCACTTAAGTAAAGAAGTAGCTGAAAAATGCGAAGAGGTGATGACAATACAGAGACACCTAGTTCATCCATGCCTTCACAGGCATTTCTTGTGATAACTCCCACCTATGTTATTATTCATTATTCACCTCTCTGAAGTACTTACACTCCAGTTAAACATGCAGCCTTTCACCACTATCTATCTGTAACACTCACATTGTCTCAAGGTTTACTTTTATTCTTTGTTACCTTGTGAGAGTCCCAGAGATTGTGTTAAGAAGTTTCTGGAAGGCTTCCTCCATTCTTTTAACCTTCCTGAGCACATATTCCTCAGTTCCTACCAGTGGTCTCCATTCCTGACAGTGTGCTATGATGCTTCCCTAGCAGCTCCATCTTCCCTCTTCACTGCTACCTATTAATTCTCCTGGGTGTAAAAAATGAAGAAGGTGACTACGTACGAGTCATTTGTTATTACTTCCAACACCCCAGGAAGGCAGTAAGATCATATTCAGAGCAATTGAAAAGAGGCAGTACTCCATACAGTGAGCAGCACTGCACGGCATTCCTCAGCTATGTGTGGAAACAATTGTACAGACATTCAAGCAGACCCTGGATAGGCACTTGGAACAGAGAGCTAATAAGAGTACTAACCAATTAAATACTTGGAAAAGAGGTCTAACAGGTCCTCTGAATGTGATACAATCATATTTGATCTGAAAACATCTAGACACTGGAAGAATTATGCACATTGGACACGTTTCTTTTCCTTAAATTTGCCTGGGTATCTACTTAAAGCTGTTTGCAGGAAGAGGATTTTGGTCTAGACGTACCTCTAATATGAACCAACCAGTGGTGGTCATTCTTACATGTTGTGGCATACATGTGCTGAGTCCCTGCCTATCCTCACGTCCTTTCTCTTCTGTATGAGGCACTGAGATTTAAGCCACACCATTCTGTTTTGCTGCACAGACTGGAAAACTATTTTTACATTTGAGTTCTCTTTCCACTGGATTTTTTATCAGAATATAAAGCCCAGTGCTGGGATCAGGGAGTGTGAAGACAGAGGAAGACGTTATTTCTTAAAAGAGATCTTACATAAATATAGCTTAATCGTTAAAAATATCACCTCATTCCCTTGATCATCAATTACTGAGATGTAGTTTGGCTGTGTTTCACTTGGGTAGGAAAGCAGCACATCATAATGAACAAGTTCTGCTGAATCCAATCCAAATTCCTTCCACTGGCCTTGAATTTGTTTGGCAAGAAGAAAATTCTGCTCAGTTCCTGCAAGATGAGGCAACTTGGTAAAGGAGCTAGAATAAAACAAAAGGTCACCAGTAGTAGTTATCAGTTCATTGAATCAAAGAATCACAGAATCATGATTAAGGTTGGAAAAGAACTCTAAGATCATCAAATGCAAACAACAGTCCAACCCCACCATGACCACTAACCATGTCCCTCAGTGCCACGTCTACACAGTTCTTGAACACCTCCAGGGATGGTGACTGCACACCCTCCCTGGGCAGCCTGTGCCAATACTTCACTCTATCTGAGGTGAAATTTTTCCTAATATCAAACCTGAGCCACCTCTCTTCATCATCTTTTGTTCCAAATTGTAACTACACACATAACTCAATGGCGTGCAAGCATTGTAACCTTTTGAATGTATAGATTTTCTACTTGGACTAACTGGATTAACTGGATTATTGCTTATACTGAAAAATTAAGGACACATTAGACAGATTATCAATCAAATGTAATTAATAGCAATCAGTCTTTACCAAATAAAGTAAAATAATCTCTGTCGGAGAACAAAGAACAAAATTCTTCACATCTCTGATGCTAGAGCTTCAGAGAATCATGAAGAAAAAAGCAGTTATACTACTTTAGATGTAGACTATAGAAAATCTTCATAGCAAAATTTTCTGATGAGCACTGGAAGCAATAGAGCTTGAGGGAATTACCCATGTGCTGAAAAGACAATTTCCAAAATGGGGAGGAAAGCAGCAGAAGGGTTGTGGGTCTCTCCCTTCCCCTCTCCCCAGGCAGCCTGCACAAACCAGGCATTTTCAATGCATCTTAGCAGTTCTGCTTTCAGGGACTGTTTCTTGGAGCTGATGTTATCACTTCCCAGCTTTCCTGGCTGATGAAATTAATCACAAGGCAAGATGAGCAGGGCTTACCGAAGGAATCGCTTGATGCTTTCGGCTTTCATTTCATCCACAAGTTTCTGTCTCACATTCTGAAAGACATCTGAAGAGTTGGCTTTTTTTTCGGTTGGCTTTGTAAACCATCCTGAAAGACATTTTGAAAAGTTATTTATGAAAAAGTCATTATTGAAAAGATCCTACTTAGCAAGAGCCCCAGCTCTCACATATATGGGCCCACGTGGAACTTCAAGTACAGAGCGTCACATCAAAGTCAAGAGGATGACTGGGGCTTAGAGTGTTCTCTGTCAGTGCCTGCTGACTCAAACAGAGGAGTGAAACAGAGAAGCAAAAAAAATTTCACTGGCTGAATTGCAAAATAAGTGACATCATTAAAAGAACATAAGCTAAACCTCTGGTAAATACTGTTAATTTTTAAGGCAGACTCATCTCTTGTTAGTTTTTAACTATGGTATAGATTCTGAATCATGTGTGAAGTTTCCTTAATTTTACAGGTATTTAAAAACCTGTGTATGAGCATATTCAAAGCAAAAGCCTAGGACTCAAAAGCCCCTGTAGCAAAACCACCAGAAATTTGCTGTTTAGGGATCTCCTAAATGAAAGCAACAACTTTTATATTTCATAGCCTTCCTTCATGCTTTAGCCCTTTGCTTCTGTTGCAACACAAGGTTAGAAAGGACAGATGCAGACATGCAATTTTAGACATAAAATCAAATGTTGCATGTGACTGCAGAAATGAATCTGAAGTTGTAGTGCAGTGCATTGGACACAATGGAAAATTCAGCAGCTCCGCTCCTGGCTGTTAGACAGCACTCCTCCTTGTCTGCATTCCTTTAACAGAATAGGAGCATTTCGATAGACCTTCAGAAGGAATCACAAAATAAAAATTAAAGAAAGAAAAATCCTGGAGGTTTTGCAGTCATGTAAATCTCAAACTCTTCTGTTAACCTCTCCTCTCTGGATTGCCTGTTGCAGGGAGCTGTCAGCTCACTGTGGCTCCTCTTCTGCTGAAGCGTGACTGCTGTATTCCTCTCCCTCTCCAAAGACACAAATCTGAGAGATGAACACTCTTGGTGCAAGTGAGCGTTATCTGAAGTCCCTGGACAGCAGCCCAAGCTCCTAGATGGGAACTTAATCACGACACGGGTCGCATAGAAGTGTCTGTGGAGGACAAGAGCTGCAGGCTGAGTCCCAGAGCTCTGTACTCACCTATGAGAAAGCCCAGCACAAAGCAGCCCAGCAGCGCAGGGCAGCCCAGCCATGTGCAGAGGGTGGCCCGGCTCCTGGCCATTCGGGCAGCTCTGTGACAGGCAAAGAGGGCAGGCAAGCTGCTGCATTCTTTCTCCTCCTTTCTCTCCCCCTCCTCTTTCCCCCCTCGGCACCAGGGCTGCCTCTAGCTTCGGTGATCCTCAGCTCATGTCCTGCCTAGGAAGCTGCAACCCGGCAATGAGAATGGGAGGATTTTCTGAGCACAGCACACCGCCCCACAAGACAGTCTGTGTATCAGAACAAAGGCTGTGCAGCAAGCAGTGCTTAACTATTATTTTTAAAACCATTCTCTACTAATTATCAGGACTTTCTGCTTTTGAAAGTTCCTGTTTCAAGCTGAAACTACAATCCGTGGAAGTGACCGCAAGATGAAATGGAGGAAGGGAAAATTACTTTCTCTTTACTGAGGAAGCATTGAATCGCTCCTCTTTGTAATCTGTGGTTATGTTGGCAAGCAATAAATACTTAAATTAGCCAATGGGGACACTTCCAGATGTCACTTTCCAATTTAGATACGTTGCCAAAGGATTTCCTACATCCTTTAGCTTTTTACATTTTGGACTACGAGGTCCCTAGGATCTAGTTTTGACAATCTAATTCTACCAAATCCATCAGTATTTCGTGGGAAAGGATGCAGCCTCAGCCCAGGGAAAAGCCAATTCTTTTTGTGGAAACTTACCCTGGCTCTGTATCTCTCTCCCTGCCACTGAAGCCAAGGCAGATCTTTCTGGAACTGAGGGCCTGCCCACGAGACAGCTTCTCAGGATGAAGGCAGGAAAGCTTTTCTGGGAACCCAGACATGCACGCTGTTCTTACTACTCGATCCCAAAGGTCCAAAGGAGATAGATCCTGTGAAAGAAACGGCAGTGCTCCAAGTATCAAGTATCCAAGTGCTTCAAATGTCTCAGACTGTACCGAGAGGAAAATAATCAGAAATAGCTGGAAAGGCTGCTTAGCATCCCAGTCACAGCAGGAAGGGCCTTTCAAGAAGGCCTGAGATACAGAAGAGTTGCAAGACTTGGGGATTCTATTCCACTCAAAGCCATGAACTTGAGCAGGCGGCCACATGGCTGGATGTCTCTGTTCAAACGATAAGCAAGAACAATAAGCAAGTCCAGTTTTCTTATTTTTTTTTCCTGTCGTTTCCCAGCTGCTCATAAACTATAACAAATCCTGAACAGCAAGGCCTTTCCACGCCATCTCACTTGACATACACAAGCCAGATGGATTTCTACCTTCAGAAAATATAACAAATGAGCATATCGGTGTATTATTGGCATTTATATAGCACCACAGGTGTGGGATTGGCACATAATAGACAGCAAAGTGACAAGGGCTTTTGGGGATTAATGCCTAAATTAGATCTCACATGATGGTAACATCAGTGGAGGAAGAAGGTAAGAATAGTAACAATGAGACAGTACGAAATACATTTATTTCTGTATCTTTCTATATCTTCACAATATCAGATATACAGAGACTGAATCAGGCATCTTGTGTTTAATACAGCAGTAACCCAGTGGCTTCTACAGTTTAAGACAAAGTTCTAATACTATTAGTTGTTAGCTGTGGTATGCTCTTAGACTCCATGGTTTGGCCACAGGCAGAGTACCTTATGTTTCATTTAAATACAAGCATACCACAGTATGAATCTGTGCCTCCAATAATCTTGGTGTGCTGTGGAGGCCAGTTCAAGGAGTGGCATTACTACCTTTTTTTGCTGGCTCTCTCCTGGATCACATCTACTATATATAGAATTAAAATCACTTGCTGATATGCTGCAAGAGCATACATTAGCTATCCCATCTACGCACTTGGCAGGAAGATGAGAAGAACGACATCTAAAGGCCAAATCCATTCATGATGGAGAAACAGGAGTTTACGCTTGATAACAGAACTTGTAGATGCTGCTATCTTCCCTTCTGGAAGGGGGAACAGGGTGCAGAAACATAGATGATTCATACAGAGCGTGCAGAGGCAGTGGCTTGAACTGTTTCTCAAGAGAAGGGAAAGGGAATGATGCCTCCTGTACCTACTTTCATTCGCCTCGTTGCCTAAGCTGGAAGAGGGGGCTCTCTTTAGTACTTTTTGCTGCTCATTTTCTTGTCCCCCTCATCCCAGTCATTTTCTATTTCTTTAATTCCCTTACTTTCTCTTCTTTGCTCATACTACCAATTCTAAAGTATGCAGCATAAGAAATGCAGCCTGTGTCCTGCACATTTGCTACTTCCTGATACATGCCCTGAGTAGCCCACAAGAGATGTTACTAAATCACAAAGCCAAAGTTGTACTGGCATGTCTTGACTATGCTAAAACATCTAAGAATAACTGAAGCCAGAGAAAAATGAGCCTGACATATGAGAGCTGAAATACAGCATGCCTGGAATGGAAAATCACATCTATGAGGAGGCAGAAGAAGCTGCTCCAAACAGAAATGCATGGATCTCACTGAGCATCTTATTTAGCAGTCAAGGAATGCTCAACTGCAATTTCAAGTCAACAGATCCCTTCTGACTCTGCCAGTTTCTCAGTCTCCCCAGAGTTCTCTCTCTCATGGCCTCTGCAATCTGTCTGACTGCTAGATTAAAAGGGCAGCAGATTTTGATGCCTTGAGTTGGAGACTGCTATCTTGAACTTCAGAAGTCCCTAATCAGATTCCAGATAAAGTTTACATTACTGGCAGCTAAGTTTAGCTTGCAGACTTTGAGCCTTTCTTCTACAAGGGGAATAAACCAAGTGAGATAGAAAGAGTAAAGAACTGCACATTAAGCATAAACCAAAAGCAACCGAATGGTGTCTACAAAAAGTCTTTCAAGAAACATGAAGAACAGTAGGCATCAACTGAAGCAAAAGCTTTTCTTCATTACAGACTGAAGCACTGGTCCATGCTGCACAGACTGGTTTTGCAGTCTCTGTCCTTGGAGTTCTTTAAGACCAGACTAGACGAAGTCCTGTGCAGCCTGATCTGCCCTCAGAGCTGATCCTGCATTGAACAGCAACTTGCACTACAGACCTCTGATCTATCTTCCAGCCTGAATTACCCTACGATCCTCTGATTGAATGATGTTGCTCTACGCATTGCAGTCCCCTACCCTCAGGACCTGCTGTGAGTCACATGAAAGAATGACACACACTGACAGCAGCTGTTTAGAGTTGTCTACTCTGCTCCACCACACTACTGTCTGTGTGATCCAGCTGCAAATTTCAAACAGCTTCCATACAGAGAGACAAGCACAGGTCCAGTCTCAAAGAACTTGACTACCAGGGACTGCTCGAACATTGACATTAAGGATTAATTTTAATACAAGTATAGGTTCTACTTTTCCAACACATTCATTTCATTTGCTATACAGTGCACAGTATGGTCACATGGAGTTCTTTGGAAAATCTTTACAGCATTCAGTTTAATGACATATGAGAAGATGTACTTTCTTTATAAAAAAAACTTTTTTTTTGTTTCTCTTAATAATGCCAGAGGTTCCCCCCTCTGCTTACTTAACACTTTTAAAACTCCTGACTTCTAGTTAAGTCAGCTGCTTCTGCTTTTAAATCAATGACATAATGAATTTGTCTGCTGTAAACATCAAAAATGAGTGTTTGCAAGGACCATGCAAAGAGCTGTCTGGAAGTACAATGTTATTTCTTCCAAGTAGCCATTACAGCATATTTAGAGAACAAAGCTCTTGGTTACAGTAAACAATTCCCCTATTGGTCATCTCTAGCTGAAAACATCTGTAGTTACATGAACAACTTGCTCATGTTATACAACCAGTATACTAACTGTAAATTCAACACATTTTCTTTTTTATTCCTATTTACAACCAGTTGTAAAAAAATTAACTCAGTAGTCCTTCTTGGCCAATTATTGTGGATTAATATCAAAGCTTAAGAGTCAAAATGGTTAATCTGGTCAATAGCAGTTAGTAGCATTAAAAGTTTGACTCACTGTAAAAGTCCAACAAAAAAGACTTATGTTTTTTTTTATTAGATGTAAAGGAGGAATCCTTTAGGATGAGGGTGGTGAGGCACTGGAACAGATTGCCCAGAGAAGCTATGGATGTTCCATCCCTGGAAGGCCAGGCTGGAAGGAAGCCATGCGCAGCTCCATCTAGTGAAAAGTATCCTGCCCACAACAGCAGGGTTGAACTAGATGACCTCCAGGGCTCCATTTCAACCTGAAGCCAATTTACACACCAACCACTCCCTGATTCCACACTCAGGGCTTCAGTTAGCTATCAGCTGTACACCTGAGCTACACCGACATATCTAACAGATGCTTAAAAACTATCTGTTCCTCTATCTGGTTTCTCACAGTGTGTCTTAGGAGACCTGCTCATAAGATGTATCTCCTTGTGCATGTGGCTGGTTCAGGCTGTTTTCTGAGCTCTAAGAATCACTGAACTGGAAATATTTGTCAGTAAAGTTACAAAGTTCTTAAGAACATATTAACAGGCAGGGCTCAGAATGCTTATTTATTGTTTATTTAACCGTTGTTTTGCCACTAGGCTGACAGGAACTGAATGCTTCATTTGCTGGCATGTGCCAGTTGCCTTGCCTTCATTCATAAATGTCACGTGACCCGTGCTTCTTACTGTCCTCCTAGTAAATGAGTAATGTGAAATGCCATTTCTCAGTGCACACAAAACTGTTCTTTCCTTTTTTGCTCATTCATTATAACTCATAATCCAGAACTGAATAGAATAAAACGAGAGGAGAGGAGAGGAGAGGAGAGGAGAGGAGAGGAGAGGAGAGGAGAGGAGAGGAGAGGAGAGGAGAGGAGAGGAGAGGAGAATCACAGAGTCACAGAATTGTAGGGGTTGGAAGGGACCTCCAGAGATCATCGAGTCCAACCCCCCTGCCAAAGCAGGTTCCCTACAACAGGTCGCACAGGTAGGCGTCCAGGCAGGTCTTGAACATCTCCAGAGAAGGAGACTCCACCACCTCCCTGGGCAGCCTGTTCCAGTGCTCCGTCACCTCACTGTAAAGAAGTTCTTGCGCATGTTTGTGCGGAACTTCCTATGCTGCAGTTTCCAGCCATTTCCCCTTGTCCTGTCTCCACTCACCACTGAAAAGAGTCCGTCCTCGCCATTCTGCCCCCCACACCTTAGATATTTATAAACCTGGATCAGGTCCCCTCTCAGTCTCCTTTTCTCAAGGCTGAACAGACCCAGTTCACTCAGCCTTTCCTCATAGGAGAGATGCTCCAGGCCCTTCACCATCTTGGTGGCCCTTCGCTGGACTCTTTCCAAGAGATCCCTGTCTTTTTTGTACTGGGGAGCCCAGAACTGGACGCAGTACTCCAGATGAGGTCTTACCAGGGCAGAGTAGAGGGGGAGGATCACCTCCTTTGACCTGCTGGACACTCTCTTTTTAATGCACCCCAGTAAGCCATTGGCCTTTTTGGCCACAAGGGCACACTGCTGGCTCATGGCCAACCTGTCGTCCACCAGGAGAGAAGAGAAGAGAAGAGAAGAGAAGAGAAGAGAAGAGAAGAGAAGAGAAGAGAAGAGAAGAGAAGAGAAGAGATCTTTAAACACAAAATTCTATAGGTTAACTTACCTGATAACCGAAACTAACCTCACTAATTTTGCAAGAATTGGACCATAGAACATCATGATTCATTGCTTCATTGACAAAAGGAGCAGTGGAGCAGACAGCAGTGATAAAACTAAGACAGCATTGCCTCCCATCCACACAACTTGATTTTGGAGAACGTGTCTTCATGCTTTTATTCCAGCCTTAATCAATTCCATAGAAATGTGTAAACAACTGGGTAACAACTGTGGTTGCAAGAGCACTTCCCATTACCTGATAAACTGAATTATTTTGAGAAAGAGTAGCTGCCATGTAAAATGATCTAACAACAAAGGTTTTTAATGTGAGAAGAAGAATTGTTAAGAATAAATTAATTGTTATGGAAAATAAAAAGTCACTACACTGAAATCCACCAGATGACAGATGAATCTTCTAAGAAATGGTGGAGGACTCAGATGAAATAACAAATCAAATTTCACAGAAATATTATTGAATTCCTGCAGTGGCAGACTGTCAGATGAATTGACCTGGTTTTCTGAGTCTTCTCCATCCGATTTCAGTTGTCCCTTCAGCAGCTTGGTGTAAGAGTAAGCTGCATGCCAAAATCAGAAATACAGGTTCTACGGTGGTTTTAATAATTTAGTAAACTTTCACACAAGAGACATGATGAATTGTCTTAATATTAAGAATGCTATGATATGGCCAAGATAATACAACATAGGTATGAGTATTTTGGGCTGGCAGCTCAAAATTTGTTATGATCCTAATACATTCTTCACACAGTATGGGACAGTTTTCCCATCTTTCTATGTGAATCTTCATGTAAAAGGAAAGCGAGAAGACAGTCACACAGTACAAATCTGCAACTCAAAGGTAAAAAATACAAAGATACAAAATTAAGCAAGCAGAATTGAAAGCTCTGAAAATAAATCCCTTGGCTAGAGATTCTTAAAATATGAAGCAGAGAAAATATGTGTTTTTTAATGCAGACTTTCACTTCAGAATTTATATAATGCATCCATTATACAGAATTTATATAATACATAATTACCTTGTTAACACTGCTAAGTGCATTCCACTTGGTTATAATAATTAGAAAGAACAAGACTGTTTTTGGGTTTTGTGGCACTTCTAGTAATTGTCTTGGTGTTTTCAAATGTTCTGGTTTTGAGGCTTCTGCACACTGTTAAACATGGTCTTCATTGATGATAATGCAGATATTTATGCTACTTCTTTGAGTGTTCCTGCTGCTGCCTGTACAGTGAAGGCTGCAATGGAGATCTGCCTCTTAACTTCTTTCCAGGCTTCATCTTGATCAGCTTTGTTTTTAATGTCAAACATGGCATCATAGATCCCTGGGAATGATTCTCCTGCATACTTGTTATGGCTGCTTGGAGCAAAGATAACATGTCTGTAATTAAGGGGGAAAAAAAAAAAATTCTGTAATAGGAAAATAAAACATTTTTTTCTGAATAAATCTGGTGTTTCCACATTCTTTGTCAAATTCTTGACACTGAAGGTGTAAATAAATATTGTCATTGTAGCAACAATGCCTACAGTCTATGAAGAAAGAAAATTAAACAAGCTACATTACTCCATGCAAATTCAACGACTTTGTAGCTAAGAAGACTTGAGATAAAACTGACTAAAGCATTCACCTTTCCCTCACTTCAGAAGAAAGGGTAAGATTAAAAAAAGAAAAAAAGAGCCAGCATCTCTTCTCACAGATATACACAGCCTTTGACAGATACAGGCATGCTTTGAGGTTTGAAAGTTGATGTTCTAACAACAGGCTGTTCTCAAGAGATTTTTAATCAGAAGTCATGAGAGATATGACTGTGAATCTTACATTCTCCTTCTCCAGTTACTTTTTATTGGAAAGATTACTATTCAGAATGCAGAGTAGTATAAGGATGAAAAAGCTAAGCTTGATTTGGCTATTCTGCCTCTCCAACAAAATTTATTTCTTGAACTGGAAGAGAGAACTACTAAATTCGCTGCTGCTGGAGGACTGCCCTCCATAATGTATTTGCTAGCATGCCTGTTCTGCTACGATGGGTCCAATTTTAGATGTTTCCAGTATACCCTATGTCACTTCCAATTCACAGCTTCCTAAAAAATTTTTACCAGAGAATTTGCATTGGGACCAGAGCCAAACTTTCTGATCTGGTTAGAAGCACACTAAGATCAATGGAAATGGATTTTTTGATTTGTATACGCTTACAGCAAGACTCACTCTGTATAGAGTCTCTCAGTGCAGTTTTCCCTAGCACTGTTTCCCTTTCAACCTTATTTTTCCTATTTAATGTACTTTTACTATGTTCAATAAAGTCATTACAATTTCATTTAGAGATCCATAAATTACAAAGAAATTCTCATATAGTATTTCAGGCAGAAAGTGAAAAGTAACCCTTTCTTACCTGTAAAATGGCCTTCCAGGTAAACCAAGTGGATCGATGAAAGCCCTTTCTAGAAACATGACTTGATCATTTAACGATCTAACAGCAAGCAGGCTAAAAAGAAAACAACAAAAGAAGACATCAGCTATATATAAGAGATCATTTTTTTGCTTACTCTGTTCATGCTATGAGATGTATACAGCTCTGGAAATATGAAGGACAGTAGATCCAGGGTGTTGAACTTGAACCACAGCCCACAGAAGACAGACCATGACTACTAACCTGCATGAGCAAATTATGCTATTCTATACTGTGAGACAGTCTGGTGTATAAATCATAGAATCATAGAATGGCCATGGGTTGAAATGGACCACAGTGATCCCCTAGTTCCAACCCCCTGCTATATGCAGGGTCGCCAACCATCAGACCAGGCTGCCCAGAGCCACATCCAGCCTGGCCTTGAATGCCTCCACGGATGGGGCATCCACAGCCTCCTTGGGCAGCCTGTTCCAATGTGTCACCACCCTCTGGGTGAAAAGCTTCCTCCTAATATCTAACCTAACCTCCCCTGTCTCAGTTTAAAACCATTCCCCCTTGTCCTATTTCACCCTGTGAACCGCCGCCCCCCCCCCCCCCCCCGTTTATATGCTCCCTTCAAGGCCACAATGAGGTCTCCCCAGAGGAGAGAAAAGACCTGAAAGTTTTTTAAAGCTGTTCTACAGACCAAGGAATATTGTCAAAGAAGACAGACTTTCAGGTATTTTCTTTCATGCTTTATTTTATTTCCTCCTTTTTCTTAGGATGCTTAGATAGACCATTCTCTTCTTTATAGAAGACTCCATTTTCCAAAAAGCCAGTCAACACCAAATTACTTCAGTAAAATCACATTAGCATTTATATAAAATCACCTCTGAGAAACAGGAACATTAGAATCATCTTTTGAGTAATCCAAGAATTTTGTTTTTCTGATAGCAGACTGCAAATTCCCTGGAGCACAGACCATCTGTTTCTGTGTGCTTTGAATAGCTCTGGGCATACTACTGATGCTTAACAAATAGAAGAACTGTGAAGGAGAATATGCTGACTATATCTGAGTTTGATAGTTCACATCCAAAGTAACTTACTGTAAAGCTTCAAAAGCACTCACCAAGAAGTGGTAAATTTTCTATCACTGTAAGCTTGCAGTAATTCTACAACTGTCAATGAAATTGTTTCAAGCTTACACTGATACAGATATAAACTGAATCTGGTTGGCTGAATTAATGTTTAGATTTAGGTCAATCATCAGTAAAATGATTTTAGATTGAACTTTCTCATTTGCTACTGTGCTGCAGAATTATCAAGACATGTTACTGAGTCACAAAGATTAATGGTAAAGTGTTTTCTTCCATATTTACTTTGAAACTTCAGCTATGTTTACCAACACATTCTAGTGATGCAGGAAAACAAATACATTGAAATTTACAAATGTGTAAGCTTGGAATCTGACAGGAGTTACAAAATCAAAATAACTAAAGCAGAAGAGATCTAACAGAGTCAGGAGGGAAGTTATGATTTGCAAATGCAGCACAAAACAGAAAATGAATTAATTAGCTAAAAAGTCATTTCTTCTGCTTATGCAAACTAACCTTTTTTCAAATAACATGATATAAGCACCATAGAAATATGAAGCCCAGAAAAATGTCTCAACTATGCCATATGTCATAAATCTAATATTTTACATAAATTTATCTCTCTTCAAAGTTGCCACCATTAAAAATAGGGCTTTTACTCTTAGTAAAAGGGCAAGGGCAAGCCTCTGGCTAAGCTCCACGCTTCCCATGAAATGTAACATACGTCTACATATATATTAAAGAAGTATAGTTTTGTGTCACAACCATGCACCATCCAAGTGCTCCTCCTGAGCAGAACTGACATTCATTACCTTGGATACTTTTCAAAGAGAAAACGGCTAGATTTCCAGGCTCTCCAGTGTCTCTCTGATGCCCACTAGTTCAACACTTCCATATTATGTTTCTTAGAATAATCAGATCCTTAAAGATAAGAGCCCGTAAGGACTTCAAATGGCCACCTGCCATTGGTCATCATGGTTATTCAGGGGACTCAACGCAAACCAAGACAATGCCCTCTGAGCCCAGAGGACTATGAAGATTTGGCTGGAAGAAAAAACAGTTAAACTTACTTGTTGATATCTATTTGTTGCAGTCTATCATGAAAGCTATCAGCAACTTCTGTAAAATTCTTCACAGCTGAAAAGAGAGCATCTGGAAGGAGAAGAAAGGAAGGAATTGGAAGGCTTATAAATTAAAATAAGGCATCGCTACAATTAACAGAGGAATTAAAAGATTATACCTACCAAAGGATACATTGTATGCTGCCAGTTCTTCCTCATGATTCCTTGACATGTTATAGATGACATGAGCATAGCTGCTCAGAGCCGATGCATAATCTCTACAGTCAAAAGGAAGCAGAATAGAGTTGGCCAATTCAAACACCAACCCTCCCCGTACCTGAGCTACTGTCAGATGATTCTTGAAAGAGGGATCATAAAATCTTTCCACAATTTCATAGGTTTCATACACACTGTGGTAAACTGGATAGCTGCTATATTTTTCTACATTCTGAAACAAACAAAATCAAACAAATTCATTATTCAAGTCAGCTACAGATACTTTGTTTGTTTGAAAAGCTTGGCTGTAGGATTTAAGGCACAGTAAAGTTAAGTGTTCAGGTCACACTGCTACCCTGTAGCCGCTATGGACAATCACATGGGAAGAACTGCTCAGTGGTGGAGCTAGCTCTAGACATCTGCTTATGATGAAATGGTTATGTGGAGAAGCTCTTTCCACTGACCTGGAACTGGGCCTAAAGAAGATAGCCAAGAAGAGACACAACTTCTAGTTTCTGAATTAATGCGATTTTGCCCTTCCTCTCTTTGGATCTCAGTAGTTATTTCTGTTTACGACTTTGGCTGAGCTTTTTCACAGGAAAAGACTAAATTTAATGGATTGCTTCTCAAACATTTCTCAGTTGTTTTCATACCATGAACCAGAGTTGACCCTATATTCTTCACAAAACATGAATTACTGCTGAATTCAAAGCTTCATAAGCCATCAAATTCATTTGAAAGGCATCATAAGCCAGTGAACCCTTCCTGAACCATAAATAATTTTGAGTACATCCACTTACTCTGAATAAAATTCCTCTTCTCTTGTCTGATTGACACCAAGTTGACAAGTCCTGTTTATTAAGTATTTGTAGCATAGTAGCATATAGAGTTCTAGTTAGGAACTGAGACTCCACGCTGACACAGTAAACTGAACTATTCCAAAAAGCTACCACTGTGAATGGCTCATTTACAGTTATTATTCAGGCAATTGCAAGGGAGATGCAATTACTAAGATGCAGACTTACCCAGTTTTTACTGTAACGTGCTCTGCCTGAAGCGATGCCAAGACGTTGAAAAAAGACCTCGAAGTCATTGCCAGAACCCAGTTTATTTATTCTTTTAACAAGAAAGAAGAAAATGCCTTGAGTGACAATACTCAACATACATTTCCTAGTTTGTTTCCAAGTACTGAGATAGCTATTTATTCTCCTGCTACAGTCACTACATAATCTTTCCCTAGAACGTTCTTTCTTTCAACACACCACAAATTCCCTGAAAGCCTGCACTGTATTCATCTCCTACCAACAACTGTATTCTTAGGAGGACAGAGCCATTGCAGAGAAAACATTAAAGGGGAAAATTTAACTCACTGCCTTTAATAATTAAGAAGACAGAAACACCTTCTTCCTGCTGAACTTGCATTATTTCCAGTCTCTCAACTGAGAAAAAAACACAACAGTACTAGCATGGCTTCACATAAGAGAATCAGTTTCTTAGATTCAGTAAATTCTGAAGGACAGTACTGCAAAAACCTGCTTGGTGTGCTCCGTAGCCAGAGAAATTCAGAGGCCTGCCAGGAAACTGGAAGAAACTGCAAGGGAATGCTATTGTGTAATCATCTAGTGCTCCTGCCACTGCCTTTCACATACTTTATGTGTCTGCATCTCTAAACTACGCCAACACTACTTTTAACTCACAAAGCTGTTGATGCTACAAGTCCAAGTTCATGTAAGTAAGTGTTGTACAATACTGTATCAGTGGCAATCAGACTCTGAAATCCGTATCTGTTGAAAATCACACTGTTTCATTCAAGTGCTCAGTTTTTCAAGTAGGTATTTCTTTAACTACAACTACAAGCTGCTTTAAGTTAAGGCATTGTCTTCATTTTCTTTTGTCACTAACCTGGGGACCTCTTTATATTCTGTTGATGGATTTTTTTTATACCAGCTCTCATAAAGAGATTTTCCTTCAAACCCTTCATCAGGACTTGGTATCTAGAAAATATATATTGCAAAAAAAGACAAAAGGCACAGTTTTAAATATTACCAGTCAATGAAACTAAAACTGGCCATCACTCAAAGCCTATGGCTTAGGATAATAAATAAATAAATGAAAATAATCCCTCATCCTTTCTACATTTCCAGTTCAAAGTTTTAAATGCACATTTTTCAAAGGAATATTTTATCTGCTAAAAATAAGTAATTTTAAATGAAAGAAAGCACAAGAAAAGCAGAACATTTCATGTCAATATTTACCTTCTGATACTTTCAATGAGATGTTCAGTCATTTAATTTAAATACTAAAATATGGGGGAAAAAAAAAGCTTCTTGATTCAATCTGGCAGGAAATTTCAAAGAATTCTGTCTTGGTTTAATTTAAAATTGTTTTTTTCTTGTTTCAGTTCAAAACAAGGATTTCCAGAGAAAGAGTAATGACTTTAGAAGGACGAAGTATGCAGCACTGAGTGCTTCCATCATTATTACTGCTACAGAGCTATACAAGTATTATTGTATATTATTATTAACTAATTATTATTAGTTCATTCCTATCACTATTTTCAGACTATTTCCCAGATTACTGAGCACAATAAACACTGTATATTTTTCAGCTTTCTCTTCACTGATGGGCACCTGAGGTTTCATTGCTTTTACTGTATTACATTTTTTTACTCTCTATTTTTGTTTTAATATATTTGTAAGAATGACTCCATGATAGCAATCAAAATAAAATATGCTTGGCTATTTGGACACGGAGCTAACTGCCTAAACAAGCGTGTTAACATTTTCTGCCACAGGTTGATTTTGGACGGTGTTACACAACCTCCTTTCTGATGAGTGATCTCTTCAGACCCCAGCTACCAACAGGGTGTAGTAATGTGCATTAATCGGCCTTTGTTGCTGCTTTCCAGCTCAAGGAAGGGTTATGCAACCATGTTTATTGGTATTTAGGTCAACAATTTAATGATGGCTCTGGTGTCCAAAGTAAGGCTCTAATGACCTGATTTTCTGCAGTTCTGAACACTCACATTCAGCACAAGTTACCATGGGAACTGCAGGTGATCAGCTCTTCCACAGCTCCAGACAGAAATATCTTCAACTGGGCATCTAATTTTAACAGAGTTAAATTGTATTTGTTGTCTTTCAATTGCCAGAAAATGCCTACATTGAGTTCTTACACTTCCTTTACCTTGGTAGAAAAGAAAGCAACATGACATCATATTTTATACACTAAGCCCCATCCAGTAAACAAACTGAATGTTGTGGCTACAAATTTAAAGCAATATTACCTCTTTAGTTACACTGTACACCAGTTTGTACATCAGTGGTGTGCAATCCACTCTTAGCGTATAGTTTCCTGAAAAACAGAACAAAAATATTCATATGAAGAAGGAAGTTCAACTGAAGCCTTGTGCCATTATTAGTTAATAAGAAAGACATCAGAAAATTACACACTCTACAAGAAACAAGCTGATTCTTCCTGTAGAGAGGCTCTTCTCCTTTGAGCTAGTTAGGATGAATTACAGACCAACTTCTTAAGCAACCATAAGAGCTTTTCTTATGCCCCCATGCTGATTATCATAGAATCACTAAGGTTGGAAAAGACCTAAAAGATCACCCAGTCCAACCGTTCACCTATTCCCAATAGCTCCTACTAAACCATGTCCCTCAACGCAACATCCAGTCTTTCCTTGAACACCCCCAGGGTCGGTGATTCCACCACCTCCCTGGGCAGTCCATTCCAGTGCCTGACCACCCTTTCTGAAAAGTAATACTTCCTCATGTCCAGCCTGAATCTCCTCTGCCGTAGCTTGAAACCATTCCCCCTGGTCCTATCACTAATGACACGAGAGAAGAGGCCGACCCCCAGCTCACTACAACCTCCCTTCAGGAAGTTATAGAGAGCAATAAGGTCTCCCCTGAGCCTCCTCTTCTCCAGGCTGAACATTCCCAGCTCCTTCAGCCTCTCCTCATTATAAACATTATGAGAGGGGATGTAGACCCTACTGAGTTGCTACAGAAGTGCTGACAGAGGCACAACAATTGTTGCTCACCATGACTCCCCAGATAATACAGCTGCTATAAGGTACTTCTTCCCTAAAGCACCAGGAATGGAATATCTGAAGGATGCTTTACAATTCTGGGTCACCATTTCCTTCCACATTCAGTATAACATTAACTCAACAATATTATCATGTTGAGGCTTTCACAGATTTCTAAGTCAAACTGCCTCCCAGTCATCCATACATGCCATCTCTGCATTTCTATATGCATCTCTCGCATTTCTACAAAATGCAAGCCAAAACAATATACCTTCAATGGAAGAATCTGCATTGATATAAGCCACTCCTCGTGACTGCAACAGTTTGGCATTTTCCTGAGAAGGAAAACAGAAAGAAAATGTTGATAAACTTTTCTCCTCAGAACAATTTTTCTGACCACAGAAGTAACAGCTGTTTCAGGTAAGGTCGTATGATCTGCACTGAACAGATCTACCTCGGGGAGTCTGTAAGGAAAACTGTGTGTATGTAAGACAGACAGAGAGCAATTGAGAGAGGAAGTGCTGCTTTCTTAAACAGATTTCTTAAAGACATGTCATTATGAACACTTGTCTTGTAGCCACATCAGTTTACCTCAGCCCACTCTGTTGATCCTAACAAGCCAAACTCCTCTGCATCCCAGCTTGCAAATATCACTGTTCTCCGTGGCCTCCATCCTGCAATAAGACCATAAAAAGTGTATTACCAAAATAAAAACAGCTCATGTCATTTCTGAGGTGTTCATCTTTAATCCTGATTTGTGGAAAAAGAGGAACTTTAAACATAATTTTCTCTCTAATCTAATAAAGCTTTATTATTTTTTAGCATTCTCGTACTTTAATATCATGTACACTTCTCCTCTTGACAGAATTTCCTCAAATTTAAAACTGAACAAGAAAAAAGAATGTCTGTGCATAAATTCTTGAAAGAAAGCTTTTCTATTTGCTCACTTCAACTTAGTGCACACTAAACGATTGTAAAAAAGTTGTATTTGGAAAGTTGTCACATCTAGTACTCAATTTCTTTGACCTGTTTCACAAATATCAGATTTCCATACCTAGATCATCTTCAAAACAAAGTTATTTCACTTGAAGTTCATTCAAACCCAGGCTGAACGCAGCAGGCTTGCCTCTCTAATGTATTGCCTTGCCTCTCTAACTTTGCACAAAGTTTGAGGATACTGGAATCTTTCATTTGTTTGCCCCTTATAACTTTTTTTTTTTTTTTAATTTAAGCTTGCATTGCAAAGAGAGTGTCCCCTGACATTCAATAACTGCAAGGGAAAGAGGAGAAAACGGAGTGCTAATAGGTTTACAATGCAATGGAAAGGCAAAAGAAGCTCCTGTAACACACTACTTGAGTTTTATTGGAGATATCAGCATTTGCTCTGACAACAACAGAAATCTGGTACAATTAATATTCTTCTCCTATTATAATACAACTAGGTAAGAGGTATTTTTAAAACTATTACCTCCTACTATGTTTGCACAGCTCGTTCTTTGCATCACACAGATTTTATTCGTATTTGGGTCTGTCTCCAGACCAGTCAAGTGATCAGAATACTTTCAATGCTGCCCTGCTGAAGTATTAATCAGTTCACCACAATATCAATTTTATAGCATCATTCAAACTCCCAGGATGATCAACATCAAGTAAACAGCAATCAACTTTATCTGAATGTCATAGTTATTTTACTATCCTTCTCATAACTTATGGTTTGACTTTTGCTTTTCTTCAGGTATATTTTCTCTTGAATAGATGTAATACAGAGATACTGAGATTGTGTGATTAATTAAGAGCTGCAGAGCAATGTGCTTCTTTGAGAGATCAGAGATAAATAAAAGTTTAAGCACATGCTTAAATCTCAGAGATATCAGCAGACACTGATGAAAGCGGTGTTTTTTGTGTGCTTTATTCCCTCATGACAATTACCTTCTTTTTTCAGTTTTCCAAAGCTCCTCACAATCTCATGAACCACAGCTGCTCCACTCTGAGGATCAATGCCACCAAATACCCATGAGTCACGGTGGCCTCCCAGGATGACATATCTATCTAGAAAAATATGGAAGTTTACTTAGAAAAAAAACCATTGTTTTCCTGCTATAGAGTTAATTACACACAGAATCATAGAATTGTAGTGGCTGGAAGGGAACTTTAGAGATCATAGAGTACAACTCCCCTGCTAAAGCAGGTTCTGTACAGAACAGGTTGCACAGGAAGGCATCCAGATAGGTCTTGAATATCTCCAGAGCAGGAGACTCCACAACTTTTCTGGGTTGCCTGCTCCAGTGCTCATCACTCCCACAGTAAATTCTTCCTTGTATTCATATGGAACTTCCTGTGTTTCAGTTTTTGCCCACCGCCCCCTCTGGTACTGCTGCATGTCACCAAAAAGAGCCTCCCCCCATCAGCTTCACACTCCAGATATTTATGAACAGTGATGAGATCCACTCTCAGCCTTCTCTTCTCCAGACGGAAGAGGTGCAGGTCTTTCAGCCTTTCCTCACAGGGGAGATGTTCCAGACTCCTAATCATCTTTGTGAACCTCCATTAGACCTTTTCTAGAAGATCCCTGTCCTTTTTGAACTGAGGAGCCCAGAACTGGACACAGCAGGACTGGAACTTATTTCTAGTTTTTCATGTAGGTGTTAGGTAACAAAACTTACTAGTTTGTATTACACATAATGTAAAGGTAAAAGATATTTTTAATATCCAGACATTTTTCTACATTTTCAGCCAGTGCTACAAAACTTGTCAAACAATTCAACCCATAGGACATAAGATCTCTTAAATTTCATAACATTACTTCTACTATTAGAAATTCTGTGGTTTGCCTCTGAAAATAGATGCATCTTTTCACATTTTACAATAGCGTGTGTATTTCTGTACATCATGCTGACTCCCAGCACTGGAAGCATGTATATCTGTGAGTACGTATATAGTCAGTCATAAAAAGGTGTTCAACGTGATGGAAATGTGATTAATATGATCAAAGTCAGACTAGATAGCTGTGATACTGTAATACGGTCAGCAGTTGTGTTTCAGAGAACAGGGAAGGGCTGCAGTTACACATTAAATGAATGCATCATTCTAGGGATGTCTCTATTTATGCTTTTTTATGTGTAAATATAACATTGGCTGCAGAAAACTATAAGACAGGCGATCAGACAACAGTGGTGGAAACGATGTATTCAGGTGGAACGGAAAACCTGGTTTTGAACCATTTCCATTTGGTTTTGAATTCCTTCAACTGGCAATATCATTCCCTCGTTCATAGGGAAAAATATCCATTTAAGAGTATTCCTTCAGTTGCAAAACTACTTGTTTGAAGACAAATATTCTGTCTAGAGTATGACTCTCCCTTTGGAACTCAGCACTTGTACTGTTAACTGTATGAAATCTGACACAGTAAGTATTTCAACACCAAGTATCACACAAAGCAGTGTTTCAGAGAAAACTATCTTCCTCATTTCCCCTTTCTAGCTACTCCACTGAAGACAAATGACTTTACCTGGTTCCACTGTGCCTCTGATGGTACCAATCACATTGTAAATTCTTGTTATTTTGTTGTTGCTATGAATGTGCATTTTTACCCTTCTGGTGCGTTGGGAAAAAAATCCAAAGAAAATGTTAACCAGATTACATAATAAAACATCAACACCTTTAAAAAGCATACAGAATAAACTGTAATGAATTCAGCACAGTCTGCGTGTTCGTACTGATGTGGCACCTCAGACACCAGAAAATCAGATGAACTAAGTTGTGTCACAGACTATGTTTATCCACAACACAGATGGAGGTACAACAGCTCATCCTCAAAGATATTGCCTGCATATTTTTTCTGGAAGAAGAGGTTTAACTAAAAAACAAAAGGTCAAATGGTTCATATGAAGTCAGTACAGTAGTTCAGCCAATAGTGAAATGCCTGGAATTGATCCTGAACTGTAATTATTTACTTAAACACAAATCTGAGTTAATAAAAACGATACTGCACTTCCAGCATTTTTTTCTGGAAATCTTAAAAGTGTAGGTTAATATTGTTTTATACATGGCAAGAGGTAAGATCAAAAGCCAGTCCAACAAGAATTTCAAATACATAGGTTCTGTTCTGAAAAAGTAACCCGTCTATTCAAATAGCTTGCCAAAAGCTAGATGACTGTCAAATGAACTTGGTTCAATATTAGCTTAAAACTAAAGCAATACAGTCATGTGAGCCCAATTAGATGTGAATCTATTGCAGCTTTGCATAGAGAGCAGTTCAGCCCAGGAAATGGCCAAAATCAAAGGAACAATGCATATAACCTTGACCATTGTATCTTCAGTCAAATTGTATTGCTCTACCAAATTTTTTTCTCCAATCCCAAACATGTTTTCCTTATGAAACAGAACTTACCTTGTAGAATAATTTGTTGTGAAACCAGGACCAACATTGTAAGACACATTCAAATTTCCTTTCCAGCTACTATGTGGTGCTGCAGATCCTCCCATATTACTGTTATGAAAAGAAACACCTAGTATCATCGTTATTACAATCATCTTAGCACCAAACACAAACAAGGAAGCATTAAACAGATTTTTCTCAGAGCCATGCAAATGCAGACCACAGTGATGGTCACTGTCTTAAACATTTTGTAGCATAAGGTTTCAAAGATGACTAATCTACATCTTTGGCTACATTAATACTAGTATTTTAACAAGAAGAACTGTTCCTGGGTATTGAGGACAGTTCAGAATGGAAAACAGTCTTTGCTTCCAAGGGTTTTGCATATAAACTGCTCATTGTAAATGGCCCTTGGAACTTTCTACTGCCTTGAACTGCAGTTGCAGTTTTCATTCAGTAGATTGTTATTTGGACCATTCTAACAGTTTAACAGCACAGGCAATTGTCTTTCAGTGCCTGTCTCTGGGCACCATTTAATATGGTGGCATAGACATAGCTGAAGTGTTCTTAAGATGTCTAAAACTGAACAAATACGATGTGTACAAGTCATCTTTTCTTGCTCCAAGTTGAATGTTTAAGTACAGTGCTGCACCTGCCAACTCTACTGCATCTTAGTTTCTTCAGTGTGTATGTTTTGTTAACATAAAAATGAATTTTAATACCATCCTCTGCAAAGCTCGGAGCCTGTATTCAGATCACCTGCACACTTAGTATGCAGACTTCCTTAAATATGGCTATCTATTACATACTTTTTAACACTCCAGAGCTTTTCCAGTATCCTTACATTCGTGTGCTAGCATCGTTTCACATTTACACAACATAATACAAATGAGGAGAAAAAATATGGCTTCATATTACTACAACACAATATAGATACTGTCCCATCAAAGATGTATAGTCAAGTATTCACCTGGACACTCCTTATTTTCATTTTTTTTTTTTCCACAAAACAAGCATTACAGCAGGCCTACAAGTTCTTGCCTTTTCTCTACAGTAACTTTACAACTTCAGTGTACCTGTGCTAATCGTTGTTACTTCACGTAATACCTGATGTATTAAAAACAGCCCTTTCCAAAACACTTTGCATGAATCTGGCACATAGCAACATGTGTAGATCTACAGATCCCTAATCACAAACAGGATTTCAAAAACTACAGAAGTTGCTGAGTGAAAAAACCTTTTCCTTTTCTTTTCAAACACTCTTCTCATTGTCAGTGAACATTTTTTAAAATTCTTTGTCTCCCCAACACTTACCTCAGTAATGACTCTGCATCATGGTAGCCAATGGGATGAACTGGAATTTTTGGGAGACCTACAGCACTGGCTTTGTCTAAGCGGTAGGTGTATTCTGAAAGGCAAAGACGAGGATTTCTGTCCTTAGAAGTCTCAGAAGTAATCTGTACATTTCACAGCACAGTCCTTAAAGACACCACAGGTCTCAAAGAGAATCATTTCACTTCCCTATCACTTGGGCTGACATTTCCTCGGTGACTTCCCTATTTGTGCTCCATCAGCACATTTTCAAAACAACATTACAAAACACTCTCCCACAGCATCTACAGTTACACATTCAGAATTGGCTGGAGATTTAAAAACTATTTCTTAATCTTTTTTTTTTTTTTTTCATTTAAATGATACAGAAATACTTCTCTTTGTGGGAAGCAACTTCAGAAAAAGACACAGACGAAAAACAAGACTAAACTGCGAGCCCATAGCCTAATGTTTGGAACACTGAGCTGGGCATCTGCCAGAGATTCAGATACAGACTTGCACGCTACACTAATGAATATTTTGTTCTGCTGTGTTCACAAAAATAAATACATAAATAAATGAGGACTAGGTTTGGCTCAGACAAGACACAATTCAAATATTTTTTTTTCCCCCCACAAACCAGAATCTAAATTTTCACAGTGTGGACAAACATAAACATTTGGAAGCCATTTTTCCAGTAGGTTGTGGAATAGAATGGAATTCTGTCCTTAATACAGCATTCACAGTGACCTTTTCTGATGGAGGCTTTCTTCTTAGTACTGAAGACATACAGATGTCTAGCTCCACTGTAAATTTCAGCACCCATTTAGGAAGTGTGTGCTGGTCCACTGAACAGACACTTCACCTTTTGCAGGATAGCCTGGGGTCAGAGGATCTCCTGCACCGTTCAGGTTTAATACATTTCCACGCTGAGCTCCTCCACCTGGAAGGTTCCAGCCATTTGGATACGGATCTACTCCTGGAGCACAGTAGTCAGCAGGGTCCGAGTACAGAATAATTCCCTTGGCACCTGCCAGCTCAGCATTCTTCACCTGCAAAGCACATCTCTGGTTTCTATCCAAACCTTTATAGCTTGACATAAGCATTCAAGGGGCAAAAGAAAGTATTATAAATTACAGTGATTATAACTTGGAACCTTTCACACAGCTTTAGCTAAACAAAGGTCCCATACTTGTCTCATATCAAAAAGATCATATAGATACACAGATAGTGAAGTAGGAGACTTGCACACCAATATAAACAGTTGTTAAAAACACCACTGTAAGAGTGAACGTATCATCCCCTTATGTCAGTGAGGACATATTACTTCCAAAATAAATGGTAACTGCCTGTCCCTCTGGTTATGAGCAATTTTGATCTGTATTTCATTTTAATAAATGACTCAGATTCTTCTATAATGTTTAAGTCTCTTCCATTCAGATAGTATCTTTAAGAGTGGCAGCCTATAAAAATTCAGTCACAGTGGTATCTGACTTAGAGTTAAGAGCCACAAGTCACTTTTCACTGGTGAAAATAGTATGTATGTAAACCAGTGAGTTCCTCTCCAGAAGATTACTCAAGTCTGTGTAATAAATTTTGGCATTCCAATGAGGATATTCAGTGTTTGACACTCAGATCTAACTGAGAAATTCAAAATACAGCACTTCCCAAATTATATTAAGGTGCATTTGAACAAATTGGGAAGAACAGACTACTTCAGAGTATATTACTGGAGCAAGTTAGTTACATTTTGGAACAATTAATAGTAAGCAGATACATTTTGAAATATGTAACATTTTCCAACTCACTTTTATCCTTTAGATGTATTATATACATACCAAATAGATATTTTATATCTCCTATTAAATAATTTTCTTTGAACGCACCTCTATGAAAACCTCAATTACACTACAAGCTTGAGAAGACTTTGGTTAAGAGTTTCAGTCTCTTGAAATCAACTAAAGGATGGCATAAATCACGTTTCTATATGGAGTGATTACCTTATTTCCTCTGAAGATCTTCCCATATCTGGCAATAACAATCTTTCCTGTACAGTTAATTCCCATTTCACGTTCTAGCTTAAAGAAGTCCTCGGTGCGGCCATAATTGACATACACTAACTCACCCTGATAGAAGGAAATAGAATTTGAATGTCAGTGAGCATAACAGGAGGAGGATGGGATTTAGCAAGACAACAAGCTGGGAACAATAATCTTCAGCATTGGCTCTTGTATGAATTCTCCTCTGATAGAGACAATTAGGTAAGAAAGTGACTTCTCATGAATTTACAGTAATATAAAAAGCTGTGTGATCTCAAGACTCTATAGAGAACGTAAGATATGATTCAGAAATTGAGTGTAAACTCTCAGAGCATTGGCCTTTCTTCTCTCTAGCCTGCTTAAGCTCTAGTCAGTCAGCATTGGACAGTTGGAGGTATCCCAAAACTATCTTAGGAAGAAACACGTTGTCCTCTTTAGAATAAATACCTACAGTGAGATTGAAGAACCAGTTTAAGGTAGACACTTGCCATTTCAGACAGCTAAACTTAGGTGACAGATAACTCTTCTCAAGGTGCATTTCTCTGTATGATCACACACTTCCAGAGAGATATTTAATTTAATTTCAAAAACGAGTAAGCTTAAATCTCCAACACAGTCTGTAACCAGACATTCAGGTGGCCTTGCAATACAGCATACAGCACAGACTGAGGTACAGCCCCTTAACTGTACTGGCTTCATCACAGATTCGCAGAATGGCCCGAGTTGGAAGGGACCTCAAGGATCATGAATTCCAACCCCCCTGCCACAGTCAGGGCCACTAACCTCCCCATTTAATAGTAAACCAGGTGGCCCAGGGCCCCATCCAACCTGGCCTTGTACACCTCCAGGAACAGGGCATCCACAGCCTCTCTGGGCAGCCTGTTCCAGCACCTCACCACTCTCATAGTAAAGAACTTCCCCCTGACATCCAAAGGCATAAGGCATTTTTCCAGTCACTTAAAAAGCAATGAAGAATAGAATTTTACTGCTATTTAAGATGCTAATGTTCCAAATCAACACTACGGTATGTAAGAACGTGACTTCACGTCATCACTAAATAAGCTTTCTACTAAAGATTTATAAGAAAAGATGCTTTTGCTCAAAACTTAACTTCTTTCCTGTTTATTGGGATCTAGCTGAAATACACCACAAGGAAGAAAAATATATTGTATCTGAGACCAGGGTACACTTGTCATAGTTTTATGACTTTTGTTACTGGTATTCCACATCATCACATCACCTAAAGCTCGTGGAATTAAAGAGTTAATACTCCAGTTCCTTGAACTGACTTCTGGATACCTGGTCAGAAGAGATAAAGAACTACATATCCCAGCAGACTTTCCTTCAGAGGGGAAGGAAAGACCCGCAAGTCATGGGACTCTCTCTCTCCCTTGCTGCCTGGCAGTGTGTGGGTGTGCTTCCCAGTCATTCCACCTTCAATTCAAAGTAAGGCCTCTGGTTTCAGATACTCTCTCTCTCATTTTATCTGATTTATTAGCCTCAATTCCAATAATATATTGTATTACAGTGTGTTATCCTGCATTCTGATATCATATTTAGTAAATTATCTTTCCTCCTCAGATGGTTGCTGCTGTTCTGTATTTAGGCCCATCTCCCATCTTCCTACCCTTCCCCCTTTTCCCTTCCCCTTTCCCAGGGCGTGGATCCATGGATCCCATGCTCCATTAGTCACAGAACTGGGCTGCAGTTGCCCACAAACCACTGACATCCTCCCCTCCCCTTTTTGGGTCAGTGGGCCTGTGGAACTGCTGTTCTCCTGCCACGGACACAGACAGATCTAGAAAGCCCAGTCACAATACTACATCTACCAGAAGTGAGCAGCAGCTATTTCTGAATCTCTGCAGGGTTTCTCTCTAGCAGAAAAGAAGCTACCATCCCACTCTGACAGTATATAACCTTCAAAATAGAGTCACTACCACTTATTTTTAAAGAGCAGCTGCAGGAAATAGTAATGGTGCTAGCAGCGCCTAACTACCTCTACAACTCCCTGATTAGAGCTTTCACCCAGAAGATAAGAAAGCTGAGTTCCTGGCCTCTCTCAGTATGAAGAACTTTGATCCATTTCTTCCCACTTCTTAGCAAAGTGTCCTACTCTTGATACTACAGTTACGCTGGCATGCAGGTTCTTGACAGCCTTCTCCCTTCATTGAACTTCGAGCTTTATGCAGGAACTGTCCCAAAATTCAGAGCAGAAAGCCTAAGATTGATGAATGCACCTGGCAGGTTCCACACCTGTCTCCACAGCCTAGTTCTGTTTTTAATAAAATGGCTTTTAACATAAAGAGATATGGGAAAACTCAGACGAGCCCAAAACGCAAGCAGCATTCCCACTGCAGAGCTTTACATGTGCCCCCCCTCCTATGCTACTTGCAGTAGAGCTGCAACAACTGCTTACTGAAGAACGTTGTGGCTAACAGCACCAGTATCTGGAGCTATTACCAAACCATTACGCTTTAAGGGAAACATAAGCAATATATTTTGAATAGAAAATCTGTCCGTTAGGTATTGTTTCTTTCAGAAACAATGTTCTCCTGTTTAATTCAAATAAAATCATTTTCTAAAGAAGGAAGCTGCATCTTTTAAAACTTGTTTTTATTGTTATTTCCCATATCCCATCGTTTAGAGTAGCTCACTAGAAATCAAATAAAACAGTGAGGTTATTCTGTCTTTCTGTGGGAATATTAAAACAGGAAGGCAGAATCGATGAATTTTACCTTATATTACCTTCCAAAATTCCCACTGTGATTCTTGAAACGCTCATAATTCTCATATCCTAGGAGACAGGCTACCTGTCTGGCTCTCCAGCTTCCTCCGAGTATGAATATAGGATATCTTTTGCTTTCTGGGCTTGTGCAGCTTATTAACAAGCTTCAGAAAGAATATGAATTTAATACTGCTAGCAGATTCCAAAGTCAACTCCAATTTTAGAGGCCAGCTTGGAAGAGAGGAGCTCCAGAGGGCCCTCCCCACCTATGTTATTCTGTGTATAGACAGGGAAGGTACAGCAAGCAAAAAAATATTTCCTATTCTTACAAATTATGTATCAAAACAATTCATGACCATAGAATAGAAAACTCCTGTTACACAGGCCAGCTTCAGAATAGACAGTTTGTTAGCTGGCGCCATCTGTGCAACAGAGAAAAGACAAATGCTAGCAATAGCCATTTGCAATAGCCATGGTACACTGCACAGCTACAGCTGTATGACAGTCTCTGGAAAACAGCACTTTGAAAATGAGGTTGGTTAATTGCCTACTTTTAAATGTAAGTTTTATTTTGATCACCAAGATGGAAAAGAATAGTGCGTATTCACACAATATCTAGAGAAGCTGAAGAAGTGAATAAAACAAAAGACTTATTTTCACATTTTTAGGAAAATGAAAAACAATTCAATTTTAAGTCAAACTAGAGGGGAAAACAAACAAACACGTTTGTATGACATTTTCAACACAGCTCCATTGTAAAACTCCCAATAACATCAGGGCTGACTCATCATTCTTACTGGTAGTATGTCAGGGTCTGTACACACACAGCCTAAGACCCAGGAATTTTACATTACTCTATTCCATACTATTCCATTTACTTTACACTATGCTATGCTCCAGCATCCCATCTTCTCTTATTTCCATCTCTGTCTCTCTCTCTTTCACTATTCTACCATTTTACCTCAGGCATTCCTTGGGCTGAAAATGCACTGTAGGGTGGCACCACATCTCCTACTGCCTCATACCCTGCAGGAGGCGGCTCTGACAATGATGTGTTGAACACCTATTAGGAAAGAACAAACAAAAGAGTAAACCAGGAAATATGAAAAAGAAGTACTGTTTATGCAGGCACATTTCACAGGCATTTATGTTTAAAGGACTCTACTTTTTTAACTCAAAATGAGATGTGACCAAAACTTCAATAAGCAATGATTCACTTTCTGTATGTGAATTCAGTGTGTGATCTTGATAGTCTCACTGTCACAGACTTAGCACAGAAGCCTGTTTATGTGAACCCAGGTTCCTTTGAAGGTGTCAATATAGCAAGAGAAGGTTAGATCACAATAATAGAAAAAATGTTTGCCTTCTGCTCATCCCTCGTCCTTCAGTGAGCAGCAGAGCTGCTCTGTAATGAACTGATTTTATGTGTCAGTGTATCTTGAGGCATAAAGTCTGTAATCTTCGAGGAACTGAATTCAGCACAATCACCAATGCTGTAAAATGACTCAATACAAGTAATGATGCTAACCATGGTTGATTTCCTCTCCCTAAATAACACAGCAATTTTAAAACAGTTGAATTACATACAGTAACTCTAACACACACTTTTCCTTTCATCCATGTGTGTCAGTAAGCTGCACGAAGCAGCGCAGTTATTAGTATTCCCAGCACAAAAATGAAGAAACAAATATATAAATTAAGAAAAAATAAATAAAGCAAATGAGAACCACTAATTTCCATGAACTCTGAATCAGGTGCCATGAACAGAGCAGAGGACAGCTTTCCCTTGCAGTCCTCCCAGGTGTCTAAAGGTGTTTTTTTGCACTGTTTGCAAAAGCAGCTGTTTTCAGTACCTCATTTCCACGCTCATCAATTATTGAGATGTAATTTGGTTTATTTTCATCAGGATAAGAGAGCAGGACATCATAATGAACCAACTGAACAGAATCCAAACCAAACTCCTTCCAGTCAGCTTGAACCTGCTGAGCCAGATGGAGATTCTCCTTTGTTCCTGCAAGGTGAGGACGCTGTGTAAAATTGCTAGAAGAAACAGAAGCAATTGGTCAGGATCAGGCATTGCTGCATATGATCTTAACCTAGCTAAAAATATCTCCTGGATATGACCAGATGTATCCAGACTGAATCAAGACCAAGATTCTTCAGCTTTTATATTTTTGTCTGCCATACACATAACGTGAGGCAAAAGGTTTCAGTCATAGGTGTTTACATCTTGCTAGCAATGCAGCCTAGCAAGAATGGCAGAAAATCAGCCATGGGGTCTTGTTCTTGCTTTATTCCTTGTCTTCTGGGCATGCTAGGGCCATTTCTCTGCATAATAAGACCAGCCCTCCTTGAAGCAGTAAAATAACTGAGTATAATTACTTCTAGGTACTCAGTTTAGAAATGTGCATAACTAAACTGTAATCCCTATATTTAATTAGCTGGAAAGTGTCCTCAGATCCCACTGTTTTAATTAATTTTAGTGCAAATAATGATTTATCTGAAAGTTGACACTGAGTGTGTTTTCTTGGCAAATAAAAGCATGAGTTCGTAGCAGCTTACAAACAAGGAACAGAAAAACTCAGCAGCTTGTGACTTAAGAGACACGCACACTGAATAACAAATAGCGTGTGATGACCAGGAATGGTGAGCAACTCATCAGCTGAAAACGAAACTTGGCCAGATTACTGAGAAAACCCAGTGGTGAACTGATCTAAAGAAGCCTCCATTGAATGAGATTATCATCATTATGTTCTCATCCTGTTATACGACTGTGCCATCAGCACGCCACATGAACCCAGTGGTGTTAATGAAGGAAAGGAGACCTCAGATAAAATCCAGGTATAAGGTTGGGGAAAATTTTACTTCTTAAGTTCCACTGAGTGTTACCAAAAAACAGCAAAGTACTTTGGAAGAATTATATACTTCTGACTTTTGTACAGAGCCATGTTCTTCTGGTAACATCAACAGCTTCTATCAAGACTGTGCTGTACTGTTCCTCATACAGTCAAGGCACCATTTTCTGGATTTGATTACAATTTGAGTTATGCAATAGTGTTCTCCTGTGTTATATCCCCATTTAGTAGAACTTTGTTTTTCTTCGTTTCCTGTTCTAATCTGTTGACTGCCTGTACTGCTAGTTCTGAGTAGTGATTAAGCACTTGCGTATTCCACCACAGAACTGGCTGCATGTCAGTAAATGTGGTACAATGTTCCTGCTGGCACAGGGACAGAGATTGGAGAGAAGAAAGCTTCTTTTACAGAGCTGTTGAGCAACAGTTGGTGTTCCAGGAGCCAAAACACAGGTTGAAGAGTGCAAAAAATCTCAAGTTTTCAATGTTTACATAGCCCAGGACACGGCTATAAATGCAGTAAAGAGAATGTACTTTCCAGCTAACTTATTTGCAATAGTTTGTGGAAGTGCACTTAAAACGAAATATGTGGGATTGACACAATCAATAAGCTGAACATGTTTTGTTTTGTTTTGTAATTTTGTAATTTGTAATGTTTTGCATAAGATATAACTTCCTGCTATTTAATTAGGCTGGGATTTAAAGGCAAAACCAGAACTACTGCCTACTTCCAAAAGCACTGACACTTTAAAATTTTCTTTACATAAAGTCAATTTCTATCAATAATTTACGACTTCTAGCTCGAATAAATATATTATTTTAACAAATATCACATCTTTCTAGTAGAAAATCTGTTTAGAAGGTCTCTAGAACAAACAATTAATAATGCATCAGTTTCCTAGCAGCTAAGGCTTCTAAACTTTAAGAAATCAAGAAATTAACTACCGTAATTCAACTACAATAGATTTTAAAAATCTACAGTGCCATTTTTTACCACTTGAATTTTCAGGAAGTTAGCATCTTTGCTTGTTGGAATGGAAAACCTCCTTGGGGAAAAAAAACATGGTCTTAAAAGTGTCTTTACAGCTTTAAAGATAACCATTCTAGCTGTTCACTGTGCGGTGAGGGAGTGCTTGGGAACATCTTTCTTCAAGAAAGTGAGAACATGACAGAATGCTGCCAAGTAACACAAATGTGGTCACAAATTTGGGAGAACAGCAAAGAAGTGTAAAGGTCTCCACACAAAGAAACACAAACTCAAATACTGGCATGACTTTTTTCTCTTTTATGTTTAAGAACTCCACTATTTTGCACTGAATCTGCCCTGTTCATTCATAAAGCCTAATTTGAAGTAAACACCCTCCACAAAAAAACAGTGTAAGGTCAACACTGTTGTTGTCTAAATAGGCCACATACGTGAAAGAGTGAACTATGCTTGTGCAAGTATTCACCAACTGCGGAGCAAGAATTTGGCCAGCTCTTAATTACTTTTAAGTACTGAGTTTGCTGAGAATGACTCCAAGTGTTTTCAACACAAACAAGAATGAGAGGAGTCAAGATGGACTGTAGTCTCTCTCATCTTACTGGAAAACATTAGTTGAAACCAATGGCCAAGAGCCTACACACTGATCTGTTTAGTGGTATCCTTGGGCTGGTTCCTGATTATTATTGTTTTTTTTGACAGATAAGGCTACACATTGCTTACAAAAGAAAGTGCTTGATGTTTTCAGCTTTCATCTCAGCCATAAATGCCGCCTTCATCTCCACATGAGGTCTTAAAGGTGTCTTCTCTTCTACAGGTTTTGCAAACCAGCCTATACAACACATCAAAACACATTTTTCTTGAATATCACAAGATTTTCACTGCGTATTTTACCATTATTCTTTATCACAGCACAATAAAACAGCCACAACTTGATTCTGGTAATGGCAGTGATAGCCCTGCACCACAGTATTTGTTAGCTAGGGCACTGAAGCGAAAACAGTGCTATACCAATCACAGTCATTTTACTGCAGATCTTACATCACAGAATCACTAAGGTTGGAAAAGACCACTAAGATCACCTAGTCCAACTGTCAGCCCACTCTCACAATGTCCACTATGTCCCTCAGTGCTACATCTCCATGGTTCTTGAACACCTCCAGGGATGGTGACTCCACCACCTCCCTGGGCAGCCCGTGCCACTCATCACCACACAGTCTGAGAAGAAATTCTTCCTAATATCCAACCTGAACCTCCCCTGCCACAACTTAAGGCCATTACCTCTCATCCTATCGTTTTCACCTCAGAGAAGAGGCTGACCCTTACTTGGCTGCAACCTTCTTTCAGAGAGTTGTAAAGAGTATCAAGATCTCCCCTGAGCCTCCTCTCCTCCAATTGAAGAGATGTTGAGAACTCCTATCTTCCCTGCACACAGAGCATGATGCTGCCAGTCATTGCAGAAAGATAGCAGCTTTAAAAAAAAGGAAAGAAACAGAGCCCCTTTTTAAGGAACAGATGTCTTTTAACTATATTCTCTGTCTCTGGTTCTTATTCTGGAAACCCTCCCTTACTATACAGGCATTGCCAGAGTAAGTGATGAAGGAACACCTGGCTAGAAAGTTTCTGACACCTGTTTTTATTTTTAAGTCAGGACACAGAATCATAGAATCTTTGGAGTGGGAAGGGACCTTTAAAGGCCATCCAGTTCAACTCCCATGCACTGAACAGGGACACTACAGCTCCATCAGGTGCTCAGAGCTCCGTCCTGTCTGACCTTCAGTCTCCACGGATCGGCTATTCACTGCTTCTCTCGGCAACCTGCCCCAATGCTTCGCTACCATTACAGTACAAACCCTCTTTCTTATATCCAATTTCAATCTTTTTTTCAGTTTAAACGATTTCCCCTTGTCCTATCACCACAGGCCCTGACCAAGAGTCTATCCCCTTCTTTCACCCCATCCCCGATCCTGAGCCACCTGAGCACGGCTCCCCCACTCCCGCTCTCTCCCTGCCCCCCCCACCCCCCGCGACCCGGCCGCCGCTCAGCCCGGCTCCGCTCCAAAAAGGGCTGAAGTCCGCACTGTACCGATGAGGAACCCGAGGAGGAAAAGCCCAACCGCTGCCCCCAGGGTGACGGCCCAGAAGCGGCCGCTCGCTGCCCTGGGGCCGACCGGCTCCGTGACGGCGCCCAGCGACGTCCACATGCCCGCCCGCTGCTCCCGGCCGAAGCGCCCCCACCATGGGGGCGGGCGGGAGGGCGCGGCCGCTGCTTCCCGCCTCAGCCGGGGCCGCCCGTCGGGGTGTCTCGTACGGGCACCGGACTTTGATCTCACCCGCAGCGCCCAGCGCCCTGCTTTTTTGCACAGTTGAGGGCTGAGATGCCATCCACAGATTTAGACAGGCTCGAGCAGCGGGTCCAAGTGAGCCTCACGAGATTCAACAAATGCAAGTGCGGGATCTTGCATCTGGGTCACAGCAACTCCCGCTGTCAGTACAGGCTGGGAGATGTAAGTGTAGAGCACAGCTCCGATGAAAAGGGACCGGTGGATGGCAGCTGGTCACGAGCCAGCAAAGTGCCCTCACAACCAGAAAGCCAGCTGTATCCTGGGCTGCACCAAAAGAAATGTGGGCAGCAGGGCGAGGGAGGTGATCCTGCTCCTCTGCTCTGTGCTGTGAGACCTCACCTGGAGCGCTACGGCCCGATGTGGAGACCTCTGTACAGCAGAGACGTGGAGCTGTTGGAGCGCTCCCTGGGGCCACAGAAATGATTGGAGGTATGGAACATCTTCCCTACGAGGACCGGCTGAGAGACTGTTCAGCCTGTAGAAGAGAAGACTCTGGAGAGATCTGATAGCAGCCTAGAGGCAGTGGATGCCCCATCCCTGGAGACACTGAATGTCAGGCTGGATGGGCTCTGAGCACCCTGATCAAGCTGTAGGAGTCTCTGTTCATTGCAAGGGAGTTGGATGTGATGACCTTTAAAGGTCCCTTCCAACTCAAGCAACTCTGACTCTATGATTTTAATGGTTGAGCTAACAGTCTAGGTAGAGTGCTCTGTCACTCTGTCAAGTAAGTCAATACCAGATGTCTGCCAAATTACCCTCTGTTGTCAATACTGTTCTGGAATGTTTTAGATCTCCTGTGTAGAAAGAAGGCAACATGAGTTTGGGAGTCACCACAGTGGAAGTTTGTATCCCTGCCTTGCAGTTAGTGTCAGGTTTTGTTCCTGGAGTGCCATAATCAAAGAGTCATTAAGGTTGGAAAAGACTGGTAAGAGATCATCTAGTCCAACCATCAACCCGTCTACATTATGTGCCCATGTTCACTATTCTGCCATTACTCATTGGTGTAAACTGAAGTCAATGCTGTGTTTAAGTGAAGTCAGTGAAGAACAGGCACATATGTTGTTCCTGTGAAGACTAACATGGCCAGGGTACCTTTAGGACTAGAAATTTGGAATCCTTGATAAGTTAATTTCTGCTGGAGGTATTTGGAATTCGAGTTAATGAAGCACTGTGGGACTATGCAATGAACAAAAATATATTTTATATCTAGACTAATATTCCTTGGAGATTTAATCCCTATGGGTTATAGGCACACTTGCTCAAGTAAAATTTGAGATGAAAAGTAACAGTGAGGAAACTGTGGTGGGAATGTTGTCAAAAGTTTGGTGCTATTCAGCACTCATAAGCTAATTAGCCACCCACACCCCTTAGAATCTATGAATTCAGCTATTTTATATATAGCCTTCAGTGTGCCTCAGCTTATACAGGACATTATGACCCCAAAGAACATAGGCAAACTTTACTCAAGAGCATATCACAGCTGTGATAAATACATAAAGTGCTATATTTGTTCCTCTGCAGAATTCTGTAGATCACTTTACAGCCAAAACATTTCACTAAAACAAAAACATTAAATAAATCAGAAAGTAGCATATTTATCCCTTCCCTATGTCCTAGTGCAGAAAATCTGTTGCTGAAGATACAAGATACAAGCTGATAATGCTCCTACTAAACTGAGCGAGCATGCTGCGAATTTACTCAGGTTTTCTAAGTTTTGTAAGGTTTTGGGAGAAGATGGAGAGAAGATCTCTCAGTGGTAATTTTTACCATATCATTTCATTCCTGTGAGTCACATAGCAAGTTTGATAGGTGATTAAGACAACTTCCAGCATTTTGATTACAGCAGAAGGCTAAGAAGGTGAAACCAGTGATTCCACTTACAACCCCCTGGAGGAACACCTAGTCCTGAGCAGAGATTCAGGTTATTCTGTAATGTCTGAGAAGAACGTTTGCAGATTGTCAAATAAAGATGAGTTATCTACAGAAAAAGGTTGTTGGTCTTTGTTACAGTTTTAATTGTCAGAGAGAGGATGCTAAGCAGATGCTCAAATACATGGAGTTCTGCTTTGGAAATAATGAGAGGGTTATGTGTCAGAATTAGGAAGGGAGGCCAACGAGGGGGCCTTCATGTTGTCTGACTGCAACTGACAGCTATCTCAAGACAAGAAAGAGGAAGAAACCTTTTGTAAACAACTGGAAGAGGTCCCACCATTGCAGTACCTTCAACGTGGGAGCAGGTAAACAGTGGAACAGGCTTCCCAAAGTTGGAGTATAAATTCCTGGAGTATTTCAAAACACTGCACAAAGCTCCATGCAACCTGATCTAACTTTGAATAGTTGAAGGCAGCACAGCTTTGAGCAGGAATTTAGGCCAGATTGACCTCTAGAGATCCCTTCTAACATTTTTTTCCTGTGATTTCAATGGAGACTTACTTGTGGATTAATATGCTGTCTGCTTTGTAAATATTAAATATCCCTCCTTCTCTGTTACATATTTGCCATACAGATAGTGAAATAAAATGACTTGCTTAGCTCCCCAGGGTTCTGTAGGATTAAATCATTTATTTAGAAAAAGTGAAGAAATTCATGAGTTCCAAGTCTCTATTATGCAATGGAACCACTCTCTAATTAAATCTGAAGTGTTTCTGATAGAAGTTATTGTTGAATGTTACATGAGAGAACTAAATGAGGTGTATCGTTGTAAAGTGTCAGTAGAATGCAAGGAAGTGAAACATAGGTTCTAGAAAACTTTTATTACAATTTATTTGACTTTCTTAGTTTCAAACTGTATAAAATACCGGCTTCCCACTTTTTACTCATAGGTGGGATAGAAATAATAAGTAAATATATATCTTACATTTTCCTTCCCCCTTCTATATACCTTCCTGGTTGAATGACATTTGTATGGATATAATCTTTCACAAGTGTCCACAAACCACGCTGCTTTTGATTTTCACAACACACTACAGGGCTTCTCAAATGTCCCATTCTGCAAGGTGCCACATCTGCCTATGTATTAAAATAAAACTTGTGCTTTCTTAGTATTTTTATCCCTATAGATCTCTGTATAAAGAAGAGTGCTGTATCTGTGCCTACATAAGGCAGTAAGCAATGACAGAAAGGCAAACAGCATTTCTCTGATTTTAATCTTTGGTAGTCAAGTTCTTTAACTTTCTTTGTTGAGTTTTGTGCTTTGTCCCTACACTGTGTGCTTAGAGATTTTTGCTGTGTTTGCACTGCTGTGATAGCACTCCTTCTGCTGAGATTCTCATGATTGTTAAAAAAAAGAAGCAGTGACAAGTCTGACAATTTTGCTTTCCTGTGGTAAGTGCTCAATCATTTTTTATTCCTGCTCACATCCGAGTTCCTTTTGTTACTCCTTTCCCTTTTAGGGATTTCCTCTCACAGACAGTAAAGCTCTATAAGGGGATTGATTCTTCTGCCCTAGTGAAAATGGAAATGAATTGGCTGTGGTAACTACCTTCTCATGTGTGTTATTTAGCTCCCTTCAGTCCTGAATTATGACATTTATAACTGTCAGAAATGACTATGTTCCCATCTTCTGAGCCTTGCTAATGAAATGCTGGCACACTTTAGCTTTTAAAGACCTCACAGGAATGAATATCCATCTATCTTCAGTCCACTTATTCAAATAGTAAATCATTTTAGGGTAGCACATTGTGAAAGAAGGAAGAAAAAGGTACTGTGAACTAGTGCAAAGGCCCCTGAGGATCAGTTCCATGCATATAAAGACATGAGGCAATTCTGAATTGTACCAGGCTGTCCTTGTTCTAGTGTTGCAAGCTACAGAAAGAAAGTTAAGAAAGATGGTGCACAGATTGATCAGCTTGCCATAGCAACTGAAGAGCTTTTGCTGCTCTCTCCTGCTCTTGGCTTCACAGGTCAGTTATCTCCCAGTTGCAGTGCTCAGTGTGCTACATATAATTAATTAGGTTTCATCATCATTCAGTTTGCTGCTGGATTAGAATGGTTTGGGTTGGAAATGACCTTAAAAACCATCTACTTTCAATTCCACTGCTGTGGGCAGGAACAACACCCAGTACACAAGATTGCCATCCAACCTGGCTGGAGGGATGAAGCATTCACAGCTGCTCTGGACAACCTGTCCAAGTGCCTCACCAACAACACAACGAAGAATGTCTTCCTATATCTAATCTTATCTATTCTCTTTTAATTTAAAACCATTACTCCTTGTGCTATAACTACATATTGTGATAAAGAATCCCTCTCCTGCTTTCTTGCGGACCGACTTCAGGTACTGGAAGGCCACAATAAAGTCTCTCTGGAGCTTTTCATCTCCAGGATGATCAACTCAAGCTCTCTCAGCCTCCATAGGAGGGATGTTCCATCTTTTTTATCATCTCCATGGTCCTCCTGTGGACTCACTCCAACAGGTCACTTGCTGGGGCCTCATCTGATGAGATCAGAGTAGACTGGGAGGATCACCTCCCTTGACATGTGAAAGGATTGGCCCATGAAGAAGCTGGACAGCAAAATGTTAATTCATCTCTAGCTTCCCTATGTGGATGTTGCCATGAGAACAGAAATGGCTTGTAAGTAATGCAGAATTAACTCTTCCAAGCTGAAGCGGAATCTTGCTATTGATTGAGAATGATTTCTTATAGAAAGACAGTTTCTTCTGTGGATATTTTCAGCTTTTTTTGTTTCTCGGGGCGCTGGTCTATCACGTACAGAAAGCACGGGTTCCTGCAGTGTTCTTCTGACTTCACTGGCAAAGAACAAGATGCTAATGTGGAATACACAGATAATGGAGCGAATTAATGATGTACACTTGGAAGATTTCTCTGTTTTTAGGGCATAATT